ACACATAAAAATGTTAGCCAAAAAATTGAAGCCATGAAGAATTTGAATTAATTTGAACACCTATAAATGAATTGTATAACTTCCTCGTCTTGGCCTTTATACACTCACTGCGTTATTAATTGTTTTACTTTTAAACGGTTAAACAAAATCCCTATAATACGGATAGGTATTATCGAATGGCATACCTAATGTGAATCCTAAACAAATTGTATTCAAGACAGCGACAAACTTGTATGATGCGAAGCTTGTCAAACAGTCCCGGCTGTACATAACAATTCTCGGTAAACTAAAAATAATGGCCAACGTGTAATTTACAGGTTTAATATTTTTTTATTATTACCATCGAAACAAGAACAATTCATTAAACCGGTCCTTAACTCAATAATATTTATTTCGCTCGAATTATTCTATGTAAGTGTTACCGAGTTAAGTTCGAATACAAGTATACGATGACTAAACATTATTATAAACTTCTTTCGGGCAATCTTCGACCGGTATTATGTTTTACTTGACACGCTCTTTGTCGTGGCAAACCAGCTAACAATGTAAAATGTATGTTATATAACTTGTAATACTTCAAACAATTATCTTCACTAAAGATTTGTCAAACTAGTTAGGCACGTAGGTAATGGACGGGAAAACGATTAAAAAAAAAATAATAATAATGGTGTATATTTTTTCATTTTAACATAGCCAACATTTTTCAATCATTCGGGAACAAATGAAGCAAATCAATTTTAAACAAATTTTATGACGTGTAAAACTATATGAAAACATAGTTTTTTTGCTTTTGTACAGTAATTGTACCCAATGCAAATGCCGGGGGGAGGGTTTAAAACCCGTGGACTTTTCACAAAACTAATAGTTTTGTTAAATTAGTTTACAAAATTAGTAACAAAATAATAAATGATATCCCAATGTTTTTTTTTTTTAATAACTGCCTATTGAGTATTTCAAATTAATAAAAAAATATATATATTCATTATAAAAATGTGGTTCATTATTATTGTTATTATTACTGTTTAAGCTTCGATGCGTAGCTAAGAAGATATTGATTTTCCTATAATGTCGTTTTTATTTATTTTTTTAAAAAGTATCTCCTAAATCGCTGAACCTATATAATATACACATACAGCATGTTTATAGATCGGTAATCGTAGCGAAAATATTAAAAGTTCAACCTTTACCCTGCCCCGAGAAATCATACATACTTTAATAACTTCTCTAAAAAAAAAAAAAAAGTAAAATTAGTTCCAAATATTTGTTTACACATAATATGTACCTACTACAGTTAATACTACTGTTATTACTTTGTACCTATAGTACGATGATTATACACTGATAAACCGAAAAAAAATATTTACCTCAGAGGAGGGGTGGAAAACCTTAGTTTTAGGTATTGAGGAATGGACATTTAGATTAAAAGTAGATAATATACATGGGGGGGGGGGCAAAATCTACAGCAAAATCATTTTTTTCAAAGAACCCCAAACATTGTTAACTAAAGTCCAAACACAGTAATAATTATTAAAAAAAATTTCATACAGCCGATATATACTTGTCATTTTTTAAAATTGTTGAAATATTTTACTGATGTAATTTTTATTTTATATTTGATTTCTTTGTGTGACGTTTACATGGTGATCAATATTTTATCGTAAAACAATTTTTTTTTACTCCTCAGGCCCCAAGATCATTATAACATGTTCGTTATCATTAACCGTTGTACAAGGTTATTATATAATAATGAGAATTTTACATTAAAAAAAAATACATTGAAACGTTATTTGCCTAAAATGTTAATATAGGCACGACGGAAATCCACATTTAATCAAGTAAGTATAATATTGCTTTGTATTTTTTTTTTCTCAAAACCTAAATTTTCATTTTGGTTGTTAAACAGGTTTTTTTTTTTTTTATAAACTGTTTTTTTTTAAGTTTAAAACAAAACGTTTTTTTTTTTTGAAATGATAATTTTTTTTATTATCAAACATTATATTATACCTAATTGGAACAATTTTTTTTTGTAATTGTAGTTGTTCTTTGTTGTCAAAGTTGTTTCATGTTGGCTTTTTTTATTATTTTAAATTATAAAACAACATATTATTTAAATTATCATAGTAATATCTTAAAGCCTGAAGCTTACCAACGGACATCCGTCTTGGATTCAAGTAGTATTACATTGTTTGTAACGTTTCTATTGCTTCTATTCACACGCGATTAAAAACCGCTTAAAACGTCACGTTTAGAGTTTCGACCGGATTTAATGCATTTCAATCAACCTACGGCTTTTAATTATTAATATTTTTAAACAAATTTTTTTTTATATTTCTAGCTCATAATTAGCCGTCAACGGACCAGTGTCGGGCACATCCCATTCGCAAACATTAAAATTACTACAATGACTTTAGCTTTTTTTTTATACCTAGTAAAATTAGTTAGTTTTTACAATGTACAATTTTTTAAGCGCAAAATGTACACAAAATTAATAAAATTTATTGTGTCCAGTAAAAAACATCAACAAACACAATAACATATTATATTAATGACTGGATTCCGCGTAAGTGCCCAAATACTTAACAATTTTTCGTTTTGTTCTTTTAATTCTACCATTGTTTTTTGGTAGCTATAATAAAATATTGTTGCGTTTTTTATTGATTTTAAACTGGCCAACAACACAAATGTACCTACTATTTATTTAGTAAATTTAATTCAGAGGCTGTGCAAGATAAGTAATATTTAATTGGTAATATTAATCCGTAAATAAACATCCTGCTAAAAAAAAAATGAATAAATTATTGGATTAGTTATTGATCAAACTGTTTGTACTATGACAGTTGACTAACCGGTTTACATCACATAATATTTTACAAATTAGTTCTCCAACACTTCTTCTTCTTCCTTGCACAAAGCAAACATAATAATTTACCACATTTCGATATATATTATTTACATATTATTTATCAAACAATTTACAATATATAATTTGGTCGCTAAGTAACTAATTATAATACCATAATATGTAATTTACACAGCGCGTTATATCCGCAAACGTTTATAAATAGATACAAGATTAGCTAGCATCCTGTAATATAATATATTTTTGTTCAATAAAATCATAACTGGCGATGGCTATAAGAACACCGGGGTTCTTAATTAGATCTACTTCAACTTTTATGACATGCGTTGTCTAAAACTTCTTTACTGTACTTAACGGCTAAATAACTTGTTCACCTTATTAGAACGTTTGCCTTTCCACGTGTCTCAATATTTCTACAGAACATGCCCCCCTCTTTTCACGTTAAACCCCACTGAACTAATTATTATGGCCAAAATAACTCCATAGAGAGGTATTTTAAAATAGGGAAATGAGTCCAGTTTGGACTTTTTCCATTATTAATCAAACATTCATAATGTCGTTCATTTGTTATTGTTATTAATTTTAAGTTTCACTAAAATTTTAGTATTGATTATTTAGCATTTTTTTATTTGAGTATACTTACAAAATGTCACTTCTATATGAGTATCTTAAATATTCTACACTGTACTTGAGCCTTATGCCGTTTATATTAATAAATAAAAATAAATAGTTTCATTAAATATTGGTTTTTTCGACTTGAGGAGGGGGGGGGGCGGGAATTTTGAGAAAAAACTCAAGTCTCTTGATCTTCCAAAAATTGTCTGACAGGAGAGCTACTTGTAACATCTGAAAGTCAAGAACTCTATCGCTGGGTGGCCTCGAATTGATTTTTAAAATAACTCGATTGTTAAAACCAAAAAATGAGTAAAATAAAAATATAAAAATTGAATGGATAGCAAAAACAGAGGATATACACAATATTATGGGGGGAAAATCACTCATAAAAATGATGCCCATACAATTATATAACAATGCATTAGGGATACTGGCAATAAGCCCCCGTGTTCGACATTCTTTTTTGTTTAAAATAGTATGCAGGATTAATTTTCGTACCCTGCATTGTTCTTATTTAAATCATATTCAACTCCAATCCAATACCATTGTGGTTAACCAGCCACAACTGGCCATAATATGTATAATAATATATTCTACATGTTTTATTTAGTCACTCGACATTATAACTACATTTCACTATTACCACTCTGTCATCAAATCTCTATGTAATAACCATTAAGAGGGCGTCGCACCGGTGATTTTCAGTGGACAAACATGTTTAAGCAGACTGAACATAGCTCGCTTAATTTTGGTTTTAGAGTAAAAGCACCCATTATAAAATTAAAAGAGAACAATATTCCGGAGGGCAAGACTGTGCATTTTTTAAAAAAAATTCATTTTTTGAAAAGTTACAGCCATTTAAAAATGTTAAAATAGTCGTTATTTTTAAACTATGTATTGAGCGTTATACTTAGGATAATGAAAAAAACGCACCGTCTTGCCCTCCGGAATATTGTTCTCTTTTAATTTTTATAATGGGTGCTTTTACTGTAAAACCAAAATCAAGCGAGTTATTTTCAGTCTGCTTTAACATGTAGAGATGAAACATTTTTTTAAATAGCTTTCAAGGATGTTGTGATAGTCCAAAAAATAAATTAACTACCAAAATAGAGTCCTAGTTATTAAACTAATTATTACACATTACAGTTTAACCTTTAAATTAAGATTTTGTAAGAAATTGCCTATACTTTACTCCTTAAAAATGGGCGGTGCGACGCCCTCTTAAGATGAATTAGGAATACAAAACGATGACGACCTGTCACCCATACTTGTACAGTCATTTATCATAAAGGTAGAACAACAAGGAGCGGTCTTAGAAGCAGAAATAAATAGTTTTGGAATAGATTAGATAAAAAAAATTATACAACTTTATTTATTATATTGGTAGATATGACATAAAACAGTAACAGACATTTATAATACTATTATGTACTAACAAAAAAATGTATTATGTGGAATATGTTTTTGAAAAAATCCACCGACGGTGCTTTTCCCGTCAGCTCAAGTCTATGTGTAATATTCTACAATTTCAGATTTTATAATGTATATAGAGTAATAATAATAAGATACATTTTAACGTATCGTGTAATGAACAGAATACAGATGCCGCCAGTGTTTTTTTCTATCATTAGGTTAGGATGTGAGTGGAACTCGTGGACGTCCGAGTCTTAACTGTTCTTCAAGTGATTCGACATCATCTGTGCTGTATCGCTTTTTAACATCAATGTTTAAGATACACATGCGGTCAGTTGAGTCAATCTCAAGTTGTTTAATGTATGTTTTTTGGAAATTGTGTACTATAGTCCTATAATCCTAGCAAACCACACTTGGATAATAAAGAGGCAACAACATCGTCTACACCCTGCACAGATCCTTCTGAAAAATTGAAAAATATTTTTATTTTTTTATTTGCTAATATTAGCATTGTTCGCATTATATATAAACAAAATATATTTAACATGTACAGGGTGATTTTTTTTAGCATGGGCCACTCAATATCTCACCGAGTTTAGTTAATAATTCAACAATTTTTATATAATGTGATGCCAATTATTATGTTTCTACGTCCCTCTCAAACTGGTTTTTTTTTCATAGCAACTTTTGAAACTTAAACGGTAACGTATAGCTATATTTTTAAACTTTTTAAATTAAGAACATTCTACTAAAAATGTTGACCGGTCGATAACCAGTTTTAAAATAACTATTTTTAAAGTTTTTCAAGTTCAGGGCAGGAGGATAGGTGCAGTGTAGTATTATATTTATCTGGGAGCACTTTCCCTCCCATGCTGACTTTTAAACTCCTTTAACTATAAAAATAATTATACAAAACTGGTCAACATTTTTAGTGAAATATTTTCAATTTAAAAAGTTTAAAAAATATATATGTTACCGTTTGTTTCAAAATTTGCTATTCAAAAAACTGAGAACACAATATATAAAAAAAATAAATTATTAATTAAACCCAGTGAGATATTGAGTGGGCCATACAACTCTATAATAATATTTATCCAATACACGACGTCTGATTATGCTTTTTAAAACTGGAACAACATGGTTGTCTCTTCTATTGTCTACAAGAGTCTTAAATGTGGCCGAAGCTATGAAAATAATTATTAAATTACCGCGTTGCCAAGAAATAATAATATTTTAGTCACTATTTATACATAATTATTGCATTACACTACAAAGAAATGTGATACAACTGACTTTTGGAAATAGTCTAACTATTCCCAACCGTTGCTTTGTATAATATTATATTACATTTATTACACAGTAGGTGTTTATATTATCTACGAATGGCTGAAATAACAATTTTTGTGAAAACCCGAGTTTTAGAGTTCCCATCACACAAATTTCTGCCCCCTTCTTGACTAAAACAAGATTTAGTTTCCACCATTTTTAGGATAAATTCTACGTGAGCATATAATTTATATTTAAATACAATTTCGTTTACTTGGCAGCATTTCTGGATAAATGTAAAAAATATGAAATAAACGATGAGATAAATTGTGAAAAACAAGTTTTAAAAACAATATATACAGCTAGTGGAACAATTTAAAATAAGAGAAACGGATAAAGGCTTTTCGTTGACGAAACTTTTAAAGTTTATAGTGACTTGGACATTTTTAATTGTTTTAAATGACTATTAAAAAAAAAAATTCTTGAAATATAATATTACTATAGTTCAATTTCTAAACAAAAATAAATAACTACAAAATAAGACATAAAATTATTTTTGTGAACAGTGTGAAATTACCAATTCAAAAAGTTAGAATCAATAGTTAAAATCATTAAAAATTGAGAATATATTTTAATGCATTTACAAAACAAAACGTGTTAAACACGACTATTACTTAAAACGCTATTCAGCTTAACCAAACGTTAAACGTATAATGTGCTCGTTGCCTCGATCACTTGTCCGTCGTTCATGTTTGACTCAACGTCAATAAAACTTTACCGATGTTTTTTCTTTCTGCTAGAATTTGTTGCGCTTCAACAACCTGCAACATATTTCACCTTGAAATGGCGTTCCCATTGAAAATTAACACGATTTGTTGGACGCCAACTTACGCGGTCAAAGTGAACAGTATCGAAAATAACTGGTTTGATCTGGCCGTTTTCGATCATGTCAAACAATTTGTGCATGACGTCGTGTATTTTGTTAGCGTCGGAATCGAATAGTTCGCCTAAATGAAGTCCTGAAACGCAAATGTTTCTTTGGATAATTTTTTCAGGATCGATACTTTTTGTACGCCACTTTACCGACATCGCTTTCAACGTGTTTAACGTGTCACCGTTTATGTAAGTACTAGCACCTGGAAACAAATAAAATAAAATAATAATACCTAATAACAAATATCAAAGGTAAAATCAATAATCATACAACTTTTTTGCATTTATAGTATTTTTTTAAGTTATTATCGTTTTAGAAAAATATATTATGTTTTTAAAGAGTTTATTATTTGTCGATTACCGATAATAACTAGTCGACCGCAAGGTTTCAGTAGTTTCTGACTTAGTTCAATGTTCGGACCGCCTTTGCTGTCTACTATTAAGTCGAATCCTTTGGGACAGACTGCTCTCGCTTGTTCGACGTAGTTTTCATGCAACAACGTATGGTGAACTCCAATTTCTCGTATTTTTTCGTGCTTAAAAGCAGAAGCGGTCCCGACGACCGTCACGTTGTCAACGGTTTTGGCTAGCTGAGCGATTGCACATCCGACACCGCCTGTAAGTAATTTATTTTTATTTTCTATTTTTTTTTTTTATACTATCATAACATTACCGCCCGCTGAATGTACGAGTATAGTGTCTCTGGGTCGTAAGTTTCCCATTGTGAAGATGCTCATGTAAGCGGTCAAATAATTGGCTGGTAGCGCGACAGCATCTCGGCCGCTTACGCTGGCGGGCACCGAAAAACAATTGATAGCGGGCACTACGACTGTTTCCCTGAACAGACCGCCCGTCCAAACGTAACATACCACCCGATCTCCACACTTGAAAACCAAAACATTTTGCTCGCAAAAAAACGTGTACGTACAACACACGTAACATAGAAATAAGTTAACACTTGATTACTTGGAAATTTTTCACGTCGTTTCCAATAGACTCTACCGTACCAAAGCACTCTGTGCCGAGTACGCGAGGCGTCGTCAGTTGTCGCAGAAAACCTTGTCTCGTGTAAATGTCGCTAAAGTTATTGCCGCAGAGCTCGACGCGGACACGTACGTCGTTATCGCCCAATTCGTCGAGCGGCCAATCCTGTACCTTTAAGGGAAAATCAAGCGCTACAACGTAAGTTAGGTGCACTTTGTATAGCACATACACAAGTATTACAGGTAAGTAATACTTGTACTTACTTTCAATTTATCGTACCCGCCGTATGCTTCCAAAACGACGGACTTCACCGATTTTTTCTGTTCGACCGTACTCATTTTTGACAACACTACAAGAGACGGTTTTGAACTGGCATTCCACTTGAATAGTTTTCGGTGTTTCAATTGCAATACTATGATATTTTTATTCTCGACGATCCTTAAGAGTTAAAAAACCAAAAGAAAATAACAGCCACAGCGGGTAAACAACAATAAGATAACAGATAAAATTAAACAGGGCTACTTAAAAAATGTTCTATTCCGTGTTGTGATCATTGTGCGAGTGATATTATTATCTTCTTGATTTTTTTTTAAATTTTCAATTTGGGTTTTGCAACGAAAATTTTGATAAATTCAACGGTTTTTACATACAAGTCAAATAACTGGCGTTTTTTTTTTCTGAAGGATTCTTAAACGCGAGTAGACATATTTGGGAAATTTAAAATTTAAATTTATCCAAACAATAAGATATATTATACTACAACATTATATAACGCGTTTACGTTACACAGACAATAACATATCGGTACTGTTATGGTGCATAATATATATATATATATATTGTTATGAAATCAAAACGATCATGTTATTTTGCATAATATATATATGTACATATATTTTCTTTGCAATCTGTTACAACAAGCATCACACAATAGATGTAATATAATTTTTACAAATAGCTGCCCACAACCAAATGGGAAGGGGGGGGAGTTAGGAGTAATGATTATTTGCAGAGCAACAGGTTGGCAAGTAGTTTTATATGGGAAAAAATATTATATTAAACGTGCTACTTTCCCACAATACTATGTATTAAGCAACGTGTACGATTTTATTTATTTTGCTGACAGCATGATTTTGCCTATGGTCATGTACAACACGGTCGTATAGGTACGAATAAATACAATATCGGATGCTACCCGTTTAACAACGTTGTTTCCAGTAATTATTAATGCCAATTGTAGTTGAATTTTTTTACTATTTACAATTGAATTTTTTTCCCACAAATCAAAATCTACTTCCAAAGTTTCAATTGTCGGCTAAATTTGGTCTTACCATTTTCTCAGACCAAATGGTCGGCCATTAATCAGTCAGTCCGTCTTAGTTTACGATGTCGAATACGATACTATTTTGGCGCAGTCGTTAATAGTCTACAAAATATATTCGATTAACAAGGTGATCACCAAATCACGGAATATAAATATTCCTTATAGAGATTGCACGGGAAAACAATAAAATAGATTTTTTTAAATTTATTTATCGTTCCAATATTCATTAGAATAAACTTTATTATGAGGGGGGAAAAAATAGGCGATTAAAAATTTAACAAAAATAAAATAGCAACAATTTAAATATTCATTGCGCAATTTGGCTTACAAAAAAAAAACAGATTCCGTTGAAACAAAAATAGGTCAACACAAACGCTTTTATTGAGCGTTTGAATAGTAACTTAAAAGTAAGGAAAAATCTGGTAACGCCAAATTCTTATATTCAGTTTAAAAATGGGAGTTACCGATGATTTTTTTTTTGTTTATTAAGTCTTCACACAATGAGGATATAACCACTAAGTGGATTTTCTTATACAAAAACAAAATATTTTACTCGTACTCAGTACTTATTCAAACAGAGTACGCTCATTATATTTTTCGTAAAATTCCTTGCACATCGGCCGGTGCCAAATCGAATGGTGTTAGTTTTTCTTTATTCAATATCGTGTTGTCCGCTCCGCTTTTTATCAGCAGTCCAGCTTCTTGTACTCGTCCTTCTTCACACGTCAGATGTCTGGAAATATAGAATTTTTTTATAAATATCACTATTAAACCATCAACCATCGTCCAAACAGGGTAACGCTACTGACGTTAATCGATCGATACAAAATAAACATTAATCTGATTTGCGTAAGTAGTGAAACTCGGTTTTGAGTTATTTTGAAGTTTATGTTTGTTTACAGTGCCGTGTTTCCGTAACTGTCTTTAGCGTCCACGTTCACGCCAGAATCCAGTAGTAGCTTCAATATTGCTATGTTACCTTTTGACGCACATCTGTGCAACGGCGTCGCTCCTCGGTTATCAGTTATGTCGACGTCGGCACCTTTCGACAGTAAATACCTGACAACCTGGTAACAAAAACGAAAATCGTCAAACGTCAGCTCTTTCTGTCTTTTGTTTTCTCCGAGCCCAAACATCATAAAAATCTTACTTCCGTCCAACCTTTTGAAGCCGCGTATTGCATAGCCGAGTGTCCTTCTTGATTCTTGGCATTAACATTGACGCCGTATTCAACGAGAGTTTTTACAACATCATTACGGCCAGCCGATGCAGCTAATATGAAGGGTGTGGTTTGCATCTAAAAAAATTTAAAAAAAAATTAAATAAACAATAGAACAATATTTATATAGTTTCCATTAAATTGAATGTTGTTTCCTAAGTTTTGATAAATTTTTACGATATAAATGTTATATTTTGATTCAGAGAAAATAGTTTTGTTTATCTCATCTTACATCGTCCAAAGCATCTTCTGGTTGGCCGTTTTCAAGAAGGTAGCGTACAAGTCTGTCGTGACCTCCGAGTGCTGCCCAATGTAAAAGCAATCGATTGTTCTGTAAACAAATAAAACAAATTATGTACAAGCTAGTCGGAGAACACAATATTATCTAAAGATTCTAAGCTCGAGGCTCAGCCACTAAGGATAGTGTTGCTGTTGACGTATTACTAGAACTATAGAGAGCTTTAGATAATTTGATCATTGCTAAATATGTCGTGCTTTAGCGGATTAGAATTACTTATGTCCACCGACAAAAATCCTAATACTAGGTACCTTTTGTTTCAGTGTACTGTGCAAGTTTACAATAAACATTATAATTTACCAAAAAGAAAATCGCAAAACGAAATATATTAATCAGAAAAGTACATTTGTTTTTGTGGTTAAATAAACCGATAATAGAGCTGTCAATTTAGACATAATACGCATTGAAACTAGAAAAATAATTCAAACTTACTACATCGACTTCTTTAAGGAGTCTACCGTGTCCTTTGATGGCTTTTATTACTTCATCGATATTACCTTTGTGGGCATTCTCGAATGCTTTTTCCTTGACTTTTTCAAAATCCATTAAAATGTACTTTTAAAAGCGGACTTTAATGCAACGCAACCGTTTCGTCAACTTTTGAAGTTAACGTTGTAAAATAATGACAGCAATTTCTATTTTCGACACTAAAACTGTTTATATTTTTCGTTAATTTATTTTATTAAATGTTTTCGTTTATGATTTTGACTTTTGTATAATAATTAATAAAATTGTATAGATGATAGAAATAAAAAAACAAAAGCTTGTGTTTTGTGCCCGTCATTTTTTGATAACAACGACGACGATGGGAAATGTTATCATTTCTAGCGAGGCGAAAAACAAACAGGTAAGCCGGCAGCTCGCGAGTGAAAAATGGCCGCCGCCATTGCGTGCATTATAAAATAATATATCCGTGTGATGTTGATAATATGGAAATTGATAACAATAGTTGTTGCTGGCATACCTATGTAGTGTTCACTTTGTCATGATGTTTACTAACAAATTTTTGATCAACCGGTTTTCTCGAGTGACGGTGAACAATATAGGTAATATTTCATTCAGTAACGAAACGAATGTTAGCTTTTTTAACACGCTTATATTATTAGCTTCACTTGTATGTATGTAACTATGTAACTAAAAGAGATAGGCAACCGAACGTACATGCGTGTATTCATTGTTGTTTACCTGAAGTTTTCAAGTAATAGAGACACGTATGTACTAGAATTAAAAAACACGATTTTAAAGCACATCGAACTAAAAAGTGGAAAATAAAAAAATTTAGTTTAAAAAAACTAAAAACACGCTTAAATAGTTAAAAAAAACTAAAAAGTAGAAAATAATTTTCAATATAGAAATCAATTAATAAAAATTTTCATTATAGAAATCAATTAATAAAAAATAAATAGTATTATTGTGAAAAAAGCGTGGGGTGCTACATATCAGTTCTTGAAAAGCGCCCCACACTTTTTTCAAAATAATACTATTTATTTTTTATTAATTGATTTCTATATTGAAAATTATTTTCTACTTTTTAGTTCTTTTACTATTTAAGCGTGTTTTTATATTGTGTGTACCTACTTTGCATGTTACTCTACTTACCCGACTTGATTACTTGACGTGTAGTGTGTACTTTTGTCCGGGCCACTGAAATGGGCACGTCAAGTATATATTTTGGCCCCAATGAGAATTCTAGCATTTGGGTATTTTAGATTTAATTTTTTTTATTAGTGGATTTTAGATGTTATTCCATGTAAAGTGTTTTTTTACGATCAGGTTTCAACGTTATGTTTTGTATTTTAGGTTCTATATCGCCACTCACACCCCAGAACCCACGGAGATTGATTTTATCGATAGATTTGTTGTAGTACCAAAAATCAATTCTTTTGGTACAATGCCGTTTAGGCATCAGACGTCAGATTTTACCTCGGTTTAGGCAGTTAGGACTACGGGTATTTCACAGCGGGCCGCGTCCGGGTTGACCACCAGATAAATACAATGGCAATATGGGATTCAAACTAAAAAAAAGATAATTCGTGTTTTTCAATTGTTACTTTGGTCTAGTGGTTTTTATTAGTTGGGTTGTACTTGTTTTGTAGGATGTTTTAGAGGATATTTCATTTCAGTGAATTTTAAGTTAGTTCGCGTAATCAGAGTATTATGTTTGTTAATGGGATTACATTTTATAAGATACTTAGCGGATTTTTAGATTTTTTTTTTTAATAAATGGTATTTTACGTATTCGGATTTTCCAATTGTTACATAATTTTAGTGGATTTTCAAAGTTGTTCTGGTTGGGTTTTGTGGGATAATTAATTTTATTGGTTTTTATATGTTTGTTTTAGGCCGCAGTATGGGTCGCCGTCTTCCGTCCTGACGGCTTTTTCTTCTAAGAGGCTGGTGCGCGAATACAGGACGAATAACGAGCGTTACAGCGAGAATAATAAATTATTGATATGTGAATCGCGTAGAACCCTTAGAGTCAAGTGGATTAGGCCTCTTGGGGAGATCACTAATTTTCTAAATAATGTTTGTATTTCAATTAAATTTCCATTTATATTTAAATAACAGCAATTATTTCGAATTAAAATAGCAAAAAAAAAAAATAAAATAATTTGTTACCTATTCAGTTTTGTCTAAATAAAAATTTATTTGAAATTGTTTTTTGGATAATGATTATTATGAGTTAGAAGTTTTGAAGAGTTTAAATTGATAATCTACAACAATTCTTTACTTGCTATTTGATATTGTCCAAATGAAAATACAATTTCATTTATGATATTTTAAGCTTTATTTTTGTATATAATTATTAATATTTGTACTTAAAGAGTTTTTTTGAATACTACCCAGTTCTAATTTAAACCACATTTTTCGGTGAAAAATTGGTCAAACGTGTACGACGGTAAAAAAAAATCATTGTATTTGTACGGTATAAACCGTACGTTTGGCAACACTGCGACGACCCAATGTCGGCTTATCAGTTTAAGCAGCCCAAACGCGGTATAAATTATCGGTGAAAACGTAGGTATGGAGTATGGATCGTTTGTACAAAAACTAACGATTTTCACCAGACAAAAATATTATCGACAACCTTTCTTCAGTATTTTTCAAATCAATATAAATCTGTTATTTTCTCTTTAAATAATTATTGTGATCGACGATTTTTTTTTTATATATAGATAAATAAACGTTTGTCGATTGATGGGCGATGACGGTGTATGTAGGCACAGTTGAACCACAGGACAACTGTGGTTAAACGAATGTCGTTATCAGCTGTTATCACTTGCCCACCTCGTCCCTTCTTAAAAAATTGTTGTTTTTTTTTTTATATACAGTGCGTTCTTGTCATTCGGTATTTTATTTTGGTTATGTATCATCTATGTTGTTTAGTTTTTATTCAATCCCGTGTGGAGGCGAGTAATGAAGTGAAGTGTAATTTTCAACAACATATTTGCATTTTGCATTTTGCTTTTAATTATTGTGTTATCGCCTAATTCGAGCCGACCGGTTTTCGTTTGAAATAATCCCATCCGTCGTTCACACGACGCAACAAAAAAATAAAAAACGGCTATGTTTTGTTCTTTTCAACAACTCACATGAAACCGGACAAAAGACAGCATTTAGCAATGGGAACGAATACTGTGTAGTCGGAATTCGAATGGCTTTGCTGCAAAGTCGTCGTTCGGTTTGCGATTAATCATTGTCAACAAAGGTACGATTACCATTTTATTGACTTTCTTTTGGCATTACTATTTAATTATCCTTAAACATTCGTTGCGTTATTACTACCTACTATCTAAGTGATAACTCGTGCCATAACAATGCAATAATAACAACATAAAGTATTGGTAATAGTTATTGTAGTAAACAAATATTAACACCTACTTGTGTTTGCTCTGTAACGCCGTTATTCTGTGTACAAATTGTAATCGCAAAGTGATCAAATTTTCCTTGCCCGGCCCCAAACTTGTTCGATGTCCGTTTAGGATGTACCCACACTTTGTAAATCACACCTCGTCTGTTTGGTAAGGATAACGAGAGAAGAAAGTGAGAAAGATTATTATAATAATTTTTCCTAAAAAAAATTCACTGCATTAACTTTAGGATGCTGAAGTTAAGGTGAAATATGTTTAGCGATGGAAAACAAATCGGTTCTAGCACTGCTTTTATCAATATTTGGATAATTTTAAGTCAACGTGTTATTATTTTTTTTGTTTATTACAATAAACGAGTCACTACAAACAAATCAATTGATTTCGATTTTGTTGAGCCGTTGATTTGACATAACCCCCATTCGATATGTACTACCATCAATACAAATCTGATTTAAAAGAATCATAATATTGCAAACAAATTCTTGATAATTATTATATTAATTATATGATCATTTCTTTGAAAGTTTTTTTTATTTTTTTTATACCAAATTTGGCCTTTACAATATATTGTTTTCACTAAAAAATAAAATATCGATTTCGGTTCCAACTCGAGCCGACAAGCACAATGAAGAAACGCAAGTTTTTAATTGCATTGAACAATGTAATTTCAGGTAAGGTAAGTAAAGGCTAATTGTACTATGTATAGTAGGTATAAACTATGTTAAATAGTGCCATGATTATTATGTGTATACAAATTTTATTTAAGTAATTATTGTCTGTGAAATCGTACCTATTGTTAGTTTAACTGTTAATGTTTGACAAAAAAAAAAAAAAAATTAATATTATAATATTTAAAAATATATAAAATGTATATAACTATAATATGTTCATATATTTATTTAAAAAACGGCGATTATTATTATTTTAACGATACCCGGCGATAATATTCTTCTATTGGTTATATATTTTGACGATCAAATCGACGTCTCGTACGAAAACTAGCACATTTACCAAGAAGGTACACGATTTTCAAAAAGTAACACGTTTGGTAATTTGCTCTAATAATTTACCAAACATGTTTTTTTATCCCTTATTGTAAAATCTAACGGTGTTGTTTTTCGTAAGGAAAATAAAATGTGCTAGTTTTTTTTTTTTTTTTATAAGAACCAAAAAAAATAACATGCAAATCTTTAGATATTATCTTAAAATGATTGTCATGAATTGGTGTATATTGTTTGAATGAATATTTACGTACTGTATTGTTTAAAAATACAAAATTTGTTTTTTTTTTTTTGTTATAATTTTGATAATATATAAGTGAGATTATGATAACAAAAAAGTATAGCTTCATTTTTTTTTTTCATAAAATTAAATAAACCATATTAGAGTATTTTATTAATATTTAATTTTTGAGATATATTTATAATACATAATTACAATTTCGTTTTGTTTTGTTTTTCTTTGTAAAGCGATGTTTGTTCAATTAAATGCACTATTTAACCTCATCGAGTACCACTCGCTTATATCGTGTTAATAAAAAACAGGTAAGTATTGACTGTAAAAGAAATCTGATGAACGAATCTGACTAAATTTCAAATGTATTAAGGCATTTTGTTTTTTTTTTTTTTCATTTACAGTTTTGATGTACGACCTTAACGTTGAGCATATTTTTTATCTCGATTTTAAAATTCATACCTTGTATTTCTTTTATTGTTATATTAATTACAGTTCAATATTTTAACAGTTTTTTTAGACAGATTTATTTGTTGATAAATGACAATATTGTGAATCAACCCATTATCACTCTGAAATGATCGTCACAAAAGAATAATTTGGTTCTTTAATTAATTACAAACAGTTAATGTTGTTGTTTTTCAGCTGGCTTAAAAACAAGAATTTAAGACAATTTTCTCGCGTCGTTGTCAAGAGTTTAGAAGAATCTGTGTTTTGAAACGTTTTGTTTTCAAGTGCTGTGTTTAACATTTTTACAATTCAATTTTGTACTTAACAAAAAAAAAAGAACAGAACTGTGTTTGGCCCGCTACGACTGACTTTTGTTATTATTATTTTTTTTTTTTGTAATCGGCGTGACATTATGAATCGTAAAGTGCAAAATTTCAATGATTTCGATATTGAATCGAGTTTTCAAGAAGAAGACAATGTCGTCATCAGTAAACCCTTTATTCCGGCCAAACCAGCCAAGACCGTTTCTCCACCGCCTCCTCGACCGTCGTATAAGGTATGAATATTTGTTTTAATAATTACACGAAATCCGATCCGACGATTACATTGCTCCACAACATAATATATTTTTTTATCTTGTTTTCTCAAATAAATTCCTACACCTTTCCGATGTCTTTATTTTAACATTATAGACCACTCGCTATTGACATTTTTGCACTAATCCCATAAAAATGTTACGTTTGAAAAAAAAATTTGTTAAAAATGAAGTTAAAACTATAAAATTGAGATAGTGGAGTGGTTTCTACGATGATATTCTCAAAGAAATTGGCTATAAGTTACCATATAATATAATAATATAGGTAATACGGATAGGGACACTTGCTCATCGATGACTCTGGTTATTGGTTTTTAAAATAATTATTGTTTTTTTTCGCAAAACAGTGTTGTCGATTGATACTTCACACGACACTTCTCTATCTATGAAAATATTGTAATTTTGTGAACGCTCGACGGACTTATCTTTAACTAGTGAACATTATGCGAAATTGATACAACCCAAGTTATTTGTATACATACTTTATTTTGTAAATGTTATGCAAAACCTTATTGTTGTTATACAGTACAGTAATCGAAACTCGGACGGTTTGCTTATTTGTACGTCATAAAGTGTGTATCAATTGAAAATAAATAACATTTAAAACGTATAACTCTTGTCAGCCACATTGTATCGCTGACTTTTTTTTTAATCGTTTGCCCGTGTATTTGAATATTTTACTATACTTGTATAGTCTTAGTTAACACCAGCCATGTGTATCAATTTTTTTAAACAAATTTATCAGTGAAACGTTAACAACATTATTACGGTTGGAAGTGTTTTGTGTAAAAAAAAAATATTACAATATGATATTGTCGTCAACGTTCGCCACTATATCGATGAGGACTCACAAAGATATGTCGAAGAAAAGTTGTATTTAAACGAGAAACCTTCAAAAGCGTCGTTGGATAAAAAAAAAAATGACTGACAAAACGCACACATCCGAAATGATGAAAACAAATGATCAAAAGATTACCATCGACAATATTGCAGTGTTGATAACAGTACTGTGAGTCGTAGATCGGACCAACTTTACTTTGTTTAAATACGACCATTTGGGGGGGGGGGGGATTGGTTGAACTGAAGAAATGTACTGTGAAAAATAAATTAACTTTCAGCAACATTATAAACTAATAGAAAACGAATTAGAATAATAATTAGTATTGTTGTTTCTTTTTTACATTATCAATTGAAAACTGTTTGAATAATACTACTTATAAACAATATCGTTTAATGAAAATGGTTTACAATAGAAATGCCGTTTGGCTTTTTGTTTCAGTCATACGTGTGTATATGTATAAAAAAAACAAATATTGATCAAAATTATATGCTAAATTTGTATCCAAAAATAATTTTTGATTACTTTTCGTACATAGGCTCCTACGGCTTTGTCTCGAGAAGAACAATTGTTGTCGACGATCGTCCACTTGGACAACGGAACTACGGGTTACCTAATAACTCTGAACAAAACGACGGGGTCATGGACGTGCCACGCGTGTTATCCGCTCAAAGTACAGTCGTTGTCGCTGTTGGAGGAGCATTTGGTCAGCAAGAGTCATTTACTGGAAATGGGAAGATCCTGTTTTCCCGCCAAGAATTTCACCAAATCGTGCTCGGAAAGTAAGAAGTTTTTTAATTTTCATATTAGCATTTTTGTCCGTCGCGCCTATTATACTAATTGTCGGTCGGTGGAATTGTTCAACAGCCGGTCTGAGCGTCGGAGTGCCATCTATGATATCCGGCGAACCCGTTCCACCCGGCATGGAAGACGAGGTGCAAAACGTTTTGGCCAGGATACAAGCCACGCTGGACTCGATATTCATTCCGCTGATTGGACTTGAGTTTGTGTTGGAACTTTTGCCGACGGATCCGGCCGAAGAACCCAGGTACATGTGCGCTCTTTGCGACAAGCGAGGCGATCCGCGCACTTTTCCCAATCACTTGCGCAGTTTCAACCATCACATGGCGTACTTGGTACGTATTTATTGAAATATCAGATTTGTGTGTTGCCGGTAAAATGGAAATTGTTTGTTGGACAAATTTTAATGTTATGATTTGTTTGTCATCGTGTATAGCGGAGGTACTTCAGATCGATATCGAACGCGTTGGAACAACAGCTCAACAAAGTGTCTTCGAAAGGTTTCCAAGAGCTTGTGTTTCATATCATTGGAAAAATAGAAGAAGAATATGGCCGCATGAAACCGGTAGTGATCGACGCTAATCTATTCGATATCCCGACAGAGAAGATAAAAATGTTGAGACAAGTCAACAACGGAAAGCACATTATGTGAGTATAGCAATATGATGGTATACCTATTTAATACAATTGAGAATACATTGTATTTAAGTAGCAGTGTACATTTTTGTTTCTCTGAAACTACCAAAATGGGCGTTGATAAATTTTGTCTCGTTACACAGGGAAAGCCCTGAAGATAAATGGATGTTGGAAATGATAAAACCGGAATATGTGGAGGATCTGAAACTGTTACAAGAAAAATGTAAGCTCGAAATTAATATAACGACCCTAATTGTGTTGTGCTAACAATTGAAACGTTTCTATTTTTCCCAATTTTAGTTCCATTAAAGAAGATAGTAGAAAAAAACAAACGGGAACAAGAAGAAAAACAAAAAGCCTTAAAAGCAGAAACGTAAGTATAGTTTCTATGTCCAGTTACAGTTATCTCATGTAAAAAAAAATTCGATTGCATTATACAATTTAAACGTATAGCCTAAGCACTTCCATGCAATTGTTTAGTTTGTCTTTTTTAAAACTTTTTTTTTTTGTTATTAGTACTTTTATTACTCTAAAAAATGTATTTTTAACAGTAATAGTTTTGCATAGAAGCGTTTGTTTGAAAGTAATATATTGTCTTATTATATTTGCGCTTTTTGCACATTGTATATTTTAATTTTATGTTTTTTTTTTTTAGGGTGTTCAATAAAAATCCTCGAATATCTGTCAACAAAAATCAATTGCGTTCCAAGAACAACAAAGAAGACAGTGATTCGGACATAGAATTTGTAGACATCAAGCAAAATACGGAAACTCGGCCGAGACCATATGTGTCTAGTAATAATCAATTTTTATAATATGTTCGAGCATTGTTTATGATGTATAACATTTTTGCAGACACCAAACGGAGATCACGAGATCGTTCGAGAGACAGGAGACCCAGCCGGCGATCGCCTCCCAGGAGACACCGGCATTCCAAAAGCCCTCCGTCGGCCCGTCGCAAGTCACGAAGTCATTCGAAAACTCCCAGCATGGCGGCGGCACGTTCTCGTTCTCGCACGCCGCCCGATAGACGTTCTCGCAGTAGATCAAGATCACGGTCGCCTTACTATAACAATCGTGGAAACAGATACTCTTCTTCTAGGTACGATCGAGTTGGAACACAAACTTAGATTTTACTATTTTATTTTAAAATTGTTTTATCATCTTACAGCAGGAGACGCTATAGAAGCCGAGAGAGAAACGAACAACCGTACAGGCGACAAATGTCTCCGCCACAACATCAACATCAACATCCCATACATCCTATGAGTCCGTACCCCGGCGCTCATCCCAGGATGTTCTTTGCACCGTACATGGCGTATCCAAGGCCGCCGTACATGGGGTACCATCCGCCGGGGAAGCCGGGCTTTTATCCGCCGGAAATGTATCCGCCGGAATACCAACACAAGGAAAGGTAACGGACAAGGATTAATTTGTAACCGTGCATCCGACGAGGAGTAGTTGTATTATTATAATACCGTTGTTATCGTATAGGAGTTCAACGAGTAGGAGGAAAAAGTTGGCCAACGAGTATGAGAAAGCTGTCGAAGAAATGAAAGCCGACATGGAGAAGAAATTGTCGTACCACGAGAAGAACCCGGAAAATCATCCTCTGTATCAAGACGAATGGAAAACGTTTTGGAACAGACGTTTCAAAGAGTTGCAGATGGAAGGGAAAGATCCGAACACTCACGACTTCAAACCCGAATGGATTCTGTCGTGGAGTAAGCGCATGCAGGAGCTGCACGACGAAGAAGTCAACGACAAAGTGGAAAAACTTAGAACCAAGATCCTCGGCAACGTAGATATCAGCAAAAGCTCTTCGGAGTCGCCGCCAAGAGAGCTTTCTCCGCCGAAAGACAGAAAGAGAACCGCGGACAACAACAAGACCACTTCTTGGCCGTATAACAGTTATAGAGAAAGTGTAGAAAAGGAATCGGACAAAACAAACCGATCCAACAATCAAGATAAAGGTGCCGGTAACGCACCGGTTTTGCCTGGAGCATCTCCTATTGACTCCGACTCTGATGGTTCGTTGGGCAACCTCAGTGGCGACAACAAGCCCAGAGAGAAAATCAAGATCGAGAACCCGTTGAACGTGATTACCGTGTTGAGGCAGTTGACGGTGCTGGAAAATCAATTGGGCCTGTTGGCGCCAAAAATAGTCGATTTACTGTCTAAAGGTCTGGTCATGGAAAAAATAGAGCCCAGGTCTTCGATCAACCTGTTGACTCCGGAAAATTGTGTCATGTTTGAGACGGTAAAAGAAAAACTCAAAGGACAACTGTTGGCGGGTGTCGTCAAGAAGAATCTAGTTAACGCGACAATGTTTTCTATCCGTAATATCGAAAAGCTAATGAAGCTGGCGCCCAAGTTTGTGCCTTCGGCCAGCATGTTATCATCCACGCCGGCGCCGGCTCCTATAGTGGTTCCCGGGGTCGGTGTCATCGACAAAATGGCCATAGCCCAGCAAATCACACAAGCGCTGCTGGCCCAAGGCAAGGTGGACGTCACCCAAGAAGAATTGGAAACTCTCATTAATGCCGTTGTCGGTATGGCGCAGTCCGGAAGCAACACGCAAGGGACGAAGAACCTGTTAGCCAACTTGGCGAACAGCAAAGACGATAACGCTATGAAAACGGCAATATTTGACGAGGTCAACAAGAAGAGGGAAGAAGGGGACAAAAAAAACACTTTAGACCACTTGTCACAAGGTGACATTATTAATTTACTGAAGAATTTCAAAGACCTAACGTCCGACGAACAAGACGGGCTGATTACCTATTTAAGAGACTTGGGTAAGACCAATCCCGAAGAAGTGAAAAAACTCAGGAAGTATATCGACATAGGATCGACAAACTTCAAAGAGGTATCGTCGATATTCAAAGACGACGACGACGACGACAACTACGAGTTGTCCGAAGTGTGTAAGGCTGTGCAGGAGAAAGTAGGCAACGAACAAAACGATCAGACGATGAGCAGCATGGCTGCAAATTTTGAAATCACCGAAGAACAAAAAATGTTACTGAACAGTATCCAAAACTTTTTACCGAAACCAGAAGTGATAAAACCTGATTATATGTTGCAGCCGTCGACTCAACAAATACCGAGCACTTTGGCCCCGTCCGAATCGCCATACTATAACAATTCCTACGGTTATCCGTCCGCCGACCCGTATTCAGCCAAAAAACCCGAAATCGATATGTTCAGTGACGAGCCTTCCACATCGTCGTCGTCGGTTGCCCGTTCTGCGACCCAGGAGCAGCCCGACCAGTATAGTGCACCTGTGCCGGAACAACCGGCCAACAATCCGTTTGCCGTAGTGTCGCCGCTGGAAAACCCGAATCAGTATAATATTGCACCGCCGTCGGACCAAGTACAACCCGATCCGTATTCGGCCAACCAAGCCGATATGTACAACGACCCATACTCGCACAACCGTGGTGGTAGTAATAATAATTATTTCCAAGGACAGCATCAGCAAAATATGCCCGTTTACAATAAATACCAACGTCAGAACTCGGCGGCACCTTATCCGTCGTCGTCTTCGGGGGGATATTTTAAAGGTGCCGACAACTATCAAGGTACCGACAACTATCAAGTTAACGACAACTATCAAGTTAACGACAGCTATAAAGGTAACGACAACTATCAAGGTAACGACAGCTACAAAAGTAACGACAACTATAAAGGCAACGATAGCTATCAAGGGAGCAATAATTCTTATTCTGACAATTATCAGGGATCTAATAAAACCGACAGAAACAAGAGGTATGGCCGGTCGCAAAACAATCGTTATCAAAACAGGCGGTGAGTAGAATGCACATTTTTAAAATTTTTTGTGCACCACAATATGACATTGTCTATTTGCCGCACGCCATGTGTATGCGACTGTCTGATTATAAAATACAACCAAACATATAAATATTTATATATTATGTATAGTACAGTATACATTAAAAATATAACTTATTTGTGTAATTAGACAATTTTTTTTAATTATAAATAAACTATAATCTGGAATTTATAATGCGTTAATTATTAAATACATCTTGTAAAGAAGTTAAAAAAATGTATTTTTTTTTTAACAGAATAATTCCTATCAAGGCGAATAATGAATAATAATATTTCAACAAAGAATTATTGACTGTGAGAACCTTTTTTTGAATTATTATAATGGCAAGAAGTATACCTAATGTTATTTTTTATCCGAAACTTACAATCCACAGCTTTGCCATTCAAAATAACTATCTGAAATAATTTTTTTTTTTCATAAATCATATTAAATTTAAGGTTTTCTATGTAAAACACAAATGGGAAAAATAACTCAAAATCTAGATCAATTAAAATAAAACAATATAGTTTTTGAAAAACGGGCTATTCGTTCAACGAGGCAAAAAGAAACGAGGTACGTCGGCGGCTGACGTTATCAATTTTACGGCAACATGGCCGCCGGAAGCTATGTACGGCCGCCCGAGAAAACTGGGCGGCCATTTTGCGGTTATTACGGGTTGCCGACATACCCGTTTGCCGTCACGGTTATTTTAGCGGCGGTAATGTTGGTCACACTGGTGGACGTGCGGCGAACTCCCGAGTGTCGACCAGCTGCAACAGCTGCTGACCTGCTGATTTCCACAAAATATAATATAGGTATAAATATATGTGTGTCGCACGCAACACAATATTGCTCGCCGAGCTGTGCTGTACGTAGTCTGGAAGCGGTCTTAGTGTGTTTACACCTCCAGACAGTCCAGTGCGCGGCGGACACGGCGGAGAGTACTCGATGCTGTCAGACCCAATTGTCAGCGGACCAGTACTCGCTACGGTTTGTCCAGAACGATGACTGTGTCAAAAGCGGTCGACCACTCGTCGGTGGTGGCACGTCTTCGTTCGGTTATCGTTAGGTAAAATCTATTAGTTGTTGTCGTTGTTTTCAACACTACTTGCAATACTTAATACTTACCTATTTGATTACTTACTAAAATATTGCTTGTAACAACAAATTGTTCGGTTCAGTCTACGTCGCGTCGATCGAGCGTTTCGGGTAAAATGTATACTTGGAATTAAATGTTGGCCGTAAACAAAAAGTTGTCGCGTCGCGTTAAATTGTATTTCTCCAGGATGGAAAAGGGCGACTGGAACGCTCTGCCCAGTCTCGTACTCCACCAGGTATTCACGTATCTGCCGCAAAAGTCCAGGCGGGCCGCGTCGTCCACTTGCAAGCACTGGAGGTCGACGCTGTACCACCCGCTGTTCTGGAAACACTATGATCTCAACATTTACATCGGTGAAAACTCCATAGCCGACATAGAGTCCAAAGTGGACTACGCCAAATCGCACATTCTACCGTTGGTACGCAGCGTGCGTCTGTCGTTTGATTCCCGCAGTCCGTTATGTTTCGAGTTGGCCACGGCAGCCATAAACGCCCTGTTGGACAACGTGCTGTTGAACAACATCAAAGTCGAGATCGAGCACCAGCACGGCGTGTTCACCAAAGACGAATTTATGTGCGTATAAACATTTCGGTAGCCGAGTGAAAAGAAGAAAATAGTAAAATTCTTAAGAGTTTATCCGACAATTTTGTGTTTTCAAATGTTTAGATTCAACGGCACTCCGGAAATGGTGTATTTGTGGTCGCTTCGCAACTATTTGGAGTACAGCATTTTGAACATCGCTCAAAGAAGGAATATTGAAGAGTTCAGTTTCGGATACCTGCATTTTTACTGCTGGCACGATTTGATTAGTATGTTGGCCAAACACAGTAGTCACAGTTTGAAGCGTTTGGAACTCATACCGTTGGAATCGTCGCTCATCAAAGAGCTTTCGAACAATTCGTGTTTTATCAGCTCGACTTTTAACAACTTGACGTTATTGACCAATTTACAGGTAAATACATATATTATACAACTACGTTTTTTTTGTATATATCGTCCGTCTAGTTTGTATTTTTGTCTTAATTCGAAAAAAGCTATCGTATGCAAATTAGACCGACGTTGTTGGTCGTACACGATAATATTGTCTAATCGTATTCGATCTATTCGTCTTAGAAACTGAGTTTGGATCTCAACTTCAGTACGTGCAACTTGCTTCCGGCGCTGTGCACGATGCCTCAACTAGAAACTCTGGTGTTGCGTGTTCTGAAAAAAATTGATGTCGACATTAGCGATGACGTGTGGGCGGATCTAAAGAAAAATTGGTAATTATTTCAATTATTTCCATATTAAGATTCAATCTCAACTTATATGTATTATTAAAAAAAAATTTTTTTAGCCCCAAACTAGGACTGAGATTGGCGATTATCGAATGTAAGTCTATGGTTAAAAAGTTGCATAGGAAGTTGCTGATGCCGTCAATGCCGTTGACGCACCTCAAAGTGCTTTTTTGCGATATGGTAATTTCCCCCGACTTGTTGTTTAACATTTCACACGATTTAACGTTGTATTGTTATCTAGCTTAACGTAAGAGTGTTACGCAAACTCTTCGACTACCGCCAAACATTGGAGTCTTTAATTTGGGTCGATGACCGTTCGGAGAATCCCACGAGCCTGTTGGACGGCCATTGGCCTATTGATCGTTTCGGAGGCGAAATTGAATCGAATCCGCTCATCATCTTGTCATGGGTGTGCAGCAATCTAAAGGAACTCGTTGTTCACGGTAAACTTAAGAGAGAAATTTTAATTTATATAATATTTCTGTTGCGTAAACTATATTTGCACTGTAGGCTATTTCATGGAAACCGTCGACGTCTGTGGCATCGCTCGGCTGCGAGGGACGAATTTGAAACGCTATGAACTGCTCGAAGAGGATATTTGCTTTAACCGGGCGTGGAACGTTATGGTATACGATGACGTCGTGGAAGTACGTGTAATATATGTTATGTGACGTGTTTATTTTGGATAAATTTGAGCATTTATAAATTTCCATTTGGCTTATGTGCAGGATGTTACCAAATGGATGGGACAAACGTGGGAACCGTTGCGCAAGCGAAATGTATTTCGCACACACGCTCATTACACAATACACTGCATTGCAGACGACTCAACTAACGTAAATTAAGTTTAAAGCCGATGATTTGGTCGTGAGTTACTTAGATTCCTATTTTTTTTTTTTTCATCATCATCTCTTTCAAGAAGATATTTTTGGCCAATATCCTTTAAGCTTGCATTAAAAAAAAACGTCATATTCCGTTTAAATTAAATGTTATTTTTTTAGGTATTTTTTAGAAAAAAAAAAAATATTTAAAACATTTTGAACATTTAATATAAATCATCTTACAGACAAAAATATTTTAAAAAAAAACACTAAAATTGGTGATTTTGATCTCAACATAAAAACTATTCTTGTTATAATTTTTTAAACAGCGTCAAATCAATTAAAGTATCGTGTCGAAACGGCTTAATTAAAACTATTAAAAAGGTATTGGCTAAAAAAAACTTCGAAAAACCTGCCGCCGAGTTATAGGTAATAGGTGTAGGCTTATCCGTTTAGCGGACAATTCCAAACGTTACTAAAGTTAGTAAAACTTCCTCTTCTCGTAGCATAAAACTAGTTACGTGTTTCCTCTGTGTAAAATTAAGAAAATTTGTTGAAACGTTAAAATAACTTGAGTTTGAATTTTTTTGCACGTTTCAATCGGCAACATTAAGGTACAATTTTATTTTTCAAGTAACGTTCAACCTACGTTGTCGGAATAGTTTCTAACGTAGTCCAATCGTTAAGATATCGTATAAAAAAACTTGATTGAAACAATAAGACAGTTTAGAGTGAAAAACTGTTAATAACGACTCAAAGTTACCAAGAGATAATATTTTTAATTTACTTTGTTACCGTTGCGACCAACAAGATGTTATGCAAACTGTTTGTAGACATTTGTAGACTAAAGTAATCATCGTTTGTGAAATATTTTCTTACCCAAAACCAATGTTGAAGTATGAAAAAGAAAATAGACGATAAAAAAAATTAAATAAGGAAAGATCAATTTTTTATGTGACGATCAATCTTATTATAATAATAATAATAAAAAAAAAACACTATTAATAATTAAAAAAATAACGTAATATATCGGAAGCCGAGCAAAAGACTCAAATCTAGTCGAAAGCCGATCGAACGAGTATCCATTTTTAACGACAAATTTTTTTCCTGTCGTAATGCCGACTTGATTTAAAATAATAAAATACATATAATATATTGTAGCTTACGTTGTGCTACTAATTTTGATTGAGTTCGACTAAATAACGATGCACGATCGGTTTGCCCGGCTACGATACGACTGTAAAATAATCGTTCCTACCACACACGTACGTTTGTTGGTTTTTTTAGTGTTTTCCACAAAAACTACATATAAGTACATTTTTTTCTTTTTTTCTTTTGTTTTGCTGACTGTGATAACATCTGTTAAAATATATTATGTACCCACGACATAGCGTTTAGCCAATTAGAACTGGCCGGACGTTTAGAACGGACCGTCGAAGAAAATATTGTTAAAATCTGTTAAAATTGTTGTTGAAAAGTGTTTGTTAAAAAAAAATATATATATTATATATTATACTTAAATGTAATAAGCGATGTGATCTTAGAAGAGAATTGTAAAGATCTATTTAAAAAAAAAAAGAAACTGTGATGTTTTGTAAAGATCAAGTCTATATTATATTATATCTTATAAAAGTAAGCGCCGTCAAAAAGCGTCAGAGACGATTGCCGGTCGTACTTGAAATTAGTTTTACCAAAAATATCTTACGTAAGTCTTTACATCGGCTTGTATTTATTATCGATTGATGATTTGTGTGAATTTTTTGATCAACAGTAACACAATCTAAAACATTATATATATATTTATATCTATAACGACTGAAACAAAAATGCTACCAAATGAACGATATTACTTATCGTTCATATACATATATATTTTTTTTTTTTGTGATTTAAATATTTACTTTTTTTTTTCTTAAGTTTTTTTTTTTTTGTATTGTTTGTTTTACAAAAATTATATGTAACCTATACAACTGAATATTAATATAATATTATGTCAAATATATTATTAATATTTATTATTATTATATAATGACTGTTGACGATAAGTTTCAATCAAAATTCAAAAGACAAACATTTTATTTTTTGTAAACAAATATAATTGTTTTCAATCGTTTCGATTCGTAAGCACAATTCGATAAACAGCGTGTATCGAGCGAGCCAACGTCCCACCATAATTAAATGTAGCCCTCGTCCTCCTTGAAGTATTACTCGAATCGTGCTTACGTGATTGGCTGACTATTGTCTTTCTAGATTCTTAAGTGAAAAAAATTATCATGTCTACTTAGAACAATACAAATACTTGATATGTTCGAATATAAGGTCTGACGTCGTCGTTTCGAATGACCACTTAAATAATAATACAATTTATATATATATATATATGTAACGGTTCAATATTATCGAAGATAATATTATTATATAAGATTATACTATCAAAAAAAAAATTATATAATACCTTTCAACATTGTATAAGATCGGTTTAAGAATAAGATTATTTAATTTAGTTTTAACGTGAACACTGTTTTATCGCTCTCTCTCTCTGCGTTAGTCGACTATCGTTAGACGTATTTTATTCGATCTTAATGTTATTCGTATTCATATTTCCTTACCCACTGCCACAATGTGTGAAAAAATAAACTCCCCTCTTAGTCTTAACTTGTCGTATGTGGTACGTACGACGTACTATCTAAGTGTAAATATTTAAAATGCTGTTTGCAAAATTATCGTTATCGAGTATTATTTTAATTATACATACATATATATAAAAAAATGTTTTGTTTAAATTGTTATGGAAAAAATACTTTTTATTTTTTATTATTTCAATAATTGTTATTATTTTTGTTGAAACTTTATTATCTGTTTTATCGGTGTTATAAGTGTTGTGTTGATTAATTTTTTTTCTCATTCTTTTAAGAAGATTTCTGGTTTTTTTTTCTTTCCAATATTTTGGTGTCTTCAAAAAAAAAAAAAAACTACTATCACTAAATTATATTATATATTCCAATCTATTATATTGTAATAAATACTATATCCTACTCTACACTATGTTGGTCTACATTATATTACCTTTATCGATATCACTGTAAATAATATTAATAATTAAAACAAACAAAAAAAAAAAAATATATATATATACTTGTATGTTATTTTTTATTATTTGAGATTTGTATGCACTAAAAAAAAAACCCCTTTGCACTTAAAATACATTGAAAAATATTCATTTTGATTTGAAATAGCAATTTTTAAAAAAAATCATTTATACTTAAGTGTGTAGTTGCATACTTTTTTTTTAGTAATATACCATTATATTATAGTGATGTTCTCGAATTAGAATTACTGCTTAGTTTCTTTGGTTAAGATTTAATAAATTAAAATCAATTTTCGTTCGGAAACCACTGTACTACGATTTAACTTATTTTAATAAATTATAATATATATATATATATATATATATAAATCAAATCAGTCTCTTATTCTCTCTTAGATAATTTAAAAAAAACAATTAAATTAAAACACATTATTAAAATAAATAATAACAAACGGTTAAAAATGTATTAATGGCAAATTTAAATTAAAGGCATCAAACTGTTATAGGTCGGCCTAAGACGGCGACAAATTTTGACCGAAAGATTTTTAAAAAAAATGTACATCTTATATACACACACGATACTCTACTTGATTGTTATCTTCTTTTTTTATAACACACAAAATATAATTTTTTTATTTTAATAGTCTTTAATGTCTAGTAATGACAAGTACTCACGGTAGTGCCTAATTTTGACTTAAAAACCCTTAAAAAAAAAAACAGGTGTTTTTTAAAATGTGTTGAGAATTTAATGCCTTAACAATACTTTTTCTATAATAAAAAAAAACATGTTAGAAGAATCCATTTCTTTCCCAATACAAATCAATGAAAAACATTTTAAATGTTTTATTTTAAACCAAACACATACCTACTAATTATCAAACTCTATTACTATGTCGATGGACTACTTTGAAAAATTAGGTAACCGATGATTTACAAAGAAGTATCCTTGAACAAGTAAAAAAAAAAAAAAAGTTAAGAATATCCACACCTTATGCAGGTACAACAATACATGGATATGTCCTGCTAGTATCTCTAATCTATTATCTTTATTTATTCATTCCCATACTCTTCTCCACAATGAATAATTTAAAATGCAACAATAACATGTAAAATGTTGTCAAAAGTCTGTAGTCAACCTATTTTTATTTAGGAAAACCCCCAAAAAAGGGGGAAATGTGCGAGTGAATCGACTCGGTCGACCTGTTGATTAGATACCTGTTGTAATGAAAATATTTTCATTAAATTGTTAATTACAATATAACTATGGCAACACATCAACAACTTTAATCGCATCCGTCCCAATACTAAAAACCAACATTTCTAAGCACATGTATCTTTTGTCAATATGGTACAACGCTTTTATAGACTTTTGTATTTTCATCCGTGAACTCTGCATCTCCCTTGCTTAGATACTCACTTCTGTATAATAATTTCTTACTGTGCTGGGTTCGAACCTATATAAATTGTTGGTTTTTTCTATGACTTTTGTCTGTGGGGTGGCCAACAGTCATTCATTGGGCAGGACAGTCCTATACATTTCAATATATAGGTACCTTATGTCACGTGTTATGCCCTTATAATACAGCAGTAGTGTAGCCTATGAAAAAATACTCATTTATACTTCATTATTATTATTATTTTCTTAAAATTTGATCAATTAATTAGATTTAATCACTTGTAAGTCAGATGTGTTAAATTGCCTAATTCTGTATGGGTGTAGGTGCATTTAAGATTTAATTAAAATGGCAAACATCTTGTTACCTATTTGGATCCAACCCTAAATCATAATCCCAGAAATACTGCTTTAAAATAAGTATACTCACTAAAGAGAATAACAACGACTTTGCCGCCAAAAAATTAAGAAAACTGAAAAATGTGCAATTTCAATTATAATTATCAAAAAAATTTGGGGGTGGCCCGAGGCCCCCGCTGCACCCCCGGGAGCCGTCCTGGCTTGTGCGGCCGGACCCGGCGCGTGTCCCCGGGAACGGCGTCCACCAGAAGCCCGGGTCGCGTGCGCCTTGTCCGCTCGACGAGGGGTACGTCGCGTATTGGCGACGGCGGCGGTGGGGATGTGTTACGAGTGGCGGCTGCGGCGTCCAGAGTATACATACGTGTGCATACATATATCATTATAAATGTCGAGACGGGTGTGTGTGTGTGTGACCGACTGCGGGACGTTGATACCGGAGGCGGCGGCGGCGGAAAGGTGGAGGGGATCCAAGTACGAAACGCCAAGAAGAATATCGGTGGAAAAACAACACACGGGCAGCGCACGCACGCACACATACATATTATCGGCCAGCGACACGCCATATTGAATCCGTGGCCCGTGTGTGTGTGTGTGTGTGTGCACTGTGCAGTGTGTGTTAATTTTTGCGCGTATCCGGCCATTACCAGCAGCGGCACACAGAGCGCGGGCGAGACACGCGGACCGAAAAACCGTGGCAAAAGTGCGTGTAGTTGGTTGGTTCGTTCGTCGTGTCGTTTTTTCCCGGCGATTGTGTGTCATCGTCGAAACGTATTTTTTCCGATGAAATAATAACTAATCATTATCAAAATATTATAATCCGTCCCTCCGAGACGTGTGCGTTGGATATTGTGTAGTATAGTAGTATCACGAGCGATAATTATTGTTATTACTGATTAACGTGTAGAGCCGCCGCCGCCGGGTATCTCTGTCCGACCGCAATCGATCCGTTTGCGTCCTTGATTGACCCTCGTCGCCGCGTTTAATATAATAATATAATTATTATCGTTGTCGTTTGCGTCGTGTGCACGTTGACGATCTATTTTTTCCGTATCGTCGCCGTCAACGCGAGTCGTCGTACCCGTCGGCCGTGCCACTTGTTTTCGTTGGCCGAATGATCGAGCCGCTGCCGCCGCCACCATACGCGACCATTAATTAATTAATCAATCGATTCTATTTTGTCGTCGGCGTTTCGCGAACGACCGCGTCGTGCTTGCTGTGCAGGTGAACCGCCGATGCCCAGGGCACCGCGAGCGACCACGATGACGGACTACGTCGACGCGGCCGCATCCGCCGCCGTTGTTGTTGTTGTCTACAACGACGACGTTATCAATGATTGTTGCAGTGTTGTTGTGATGTCGGAATCACAACATTTTGCAGCGTAACGATCGGACAGCAGCAGTCGACCGACTCGTCGCCGCCGGACGCAAACAAACGTGAACGGATATTTTTCATTATCGTCGTCGTCGTTGTTGTTTTTGTTGTTATCTTTTTATTATAATAATAATAAATAATACAGTGGACGGCGCACACGGGAGACGACTTGAAATTACAAACCGGAGTGAGTACATTTTTCGTGCGGTTTATAACGGACAGGCCGAATAAATAATATTATTGTGTGTGTGTGTGTGCACACGTTTTCGATGGTAATTACAAACGGCATCGGTGACGGCGGCGGCGGCGGTGGCTGAGGAAACTCGACCGAGAAGACTTGTATATATATACATAACGTTACCGCCGCCGCCAGTGGTTTTTTTTTTTTTTTATTAATCACCTTGACACGAATACATGTTTTTTTGATGATCGACTTGGGAAAATTTTATTGTTACAGTTTTTTTCTTTTTTGCTTTTGCTTTTCCGTACGTTTTTTTTTAAAAAATAATTCTACTACTCACGCCTTATTCGTCAGTCTTGTGTGTTGGGTGCTTTTTTCCCCCGAGTAATATTGACCTTGTTTGTGTATTGTATTATGTGTTGTACAACAACACGGACAATATTATCGTCGCGACATGCTCTTGTCTTGATTAGATAGGCAGAACGTTTTTTTACCGGATTTTCATAATATTACGGTAAATTTTTATATGAAAACCGTCGTTTGATTGGCGTTGACGTTGCTGACGATATTGTCGACGTGCCTTGGCGATAGTACGGGTGTTGCAAAATTAGATTCGCTCGACCGACGTCCATCGATGGTCCGATTACGACTCGAACCAATATCGATTGTCATGGGATTCGTCTAAACTTGTTAGTCGTTTGTCGGGTCCGATACGAGGTTTGTGTACATACGTCTTGTAAAATCGGTCGACCTTTGAAATGTTATCAGCTTAAAAAGGGTTTTTCCTCGCAAGAGTTTAATTTTTATATAAATGTTTGTTTTGTGTATAGTGTTTGTCGCTTGATCTAGCAAGAAACATTTAACGACGGTTTGAGTAATGACTTAATTGAATGGAAATTTTTTTTAAACTCTACTGTCCGAATCTACTCTGGTGGACGTTAATCGGTTGAATGAATATCGCGTGTCTATAAATTGATATTGGTTTAGTTTTTCAACTTGGTTGTATCGTACTTAATTGTTGACTGGTAAAAAATTTGTTTTATTCATTTCTACTCTTCCCTTTATTATAGTTATTCCGACCTTTATTTATAAATTTCCTAGTGTCAATCGTTCATTTTACATAATGATAACAATAAGTTAAATTTTTTCAATCGCAATGTAATAGTAAAATCTGCAAGTGATTGACTTAAAACGATAATTGAAATTATTCAAACGGGTGTTATCTGGCATACACCCAATATCAGTGTTGCAGTTTTTATGTGCAAATATATTACTTATGTTCTACGTGACTAATAGTTTTTTTTTCTTTTTTTTTTACTTTTAACAGATGATGGCTACCCAGATGGAAGTCGATGACGATGTAGTTGATTTGAGCATATCGAGGTAAATTATAATATTATGTCTCCGATTATTATCTATTACGAAATTTTAAATTGTTAGCTTTAGTGAACAATTAAATTTGATTTTACAGTCGGTCAACTAGGCCGTCGTCGAGAGACGAACCGCTCTCTTTGAAAATGGGTCAAACAGACGACACTCACGGCCATATGAACGGGCATTTGGCCAATGGGTTCTCGACTACGGGGGACGATTCTTCGGAAGACAGCGACGATGATATGCCGCTCGAACTTCCCCCATCGCCTAAGGTAAAAAAAACAATAAACATGAAACAATTTTGTGCGTCAGTCGACATCACGATATGATGGTGTTTAAGTTGATTTTGTTTGTTTTCAATTCAGGACGTACTTACTCCGGAGTTGTTGTCCGAAAGAGAACAACTCATCCGAGTACTTAAAGAGAATCTCCGTTCCGAGGAGATGACTCTGGTGTTGTTGAAAAAACTGCAACAATCTCAACAAGTCAGTCAAATTGCTCAGGCTGTCAACGTAACGCCGCAAGCGGCTCACACCAAGGATCATTCTAACTTGTTATCTCAGTTGCCCACCGGCAAATCAGCTCAACCGCCAATGCCTCATGTTCCTCACCATTCGAAGCCGCCGCCGCCTCCTCTGAATCGCTTGGTAAGCATCGTGTCGATTTTGTGTTTAACAGTATAAGTTTTTTTCAAACTGTCTTTTTATATATATATATATATATCTAATATATAGCCTTCGTCATCGAGACAGCATCAATCGCACCAGTCATCGTCGAGTCCTCTGATGGGTTCGAGTAGATTGCCTTCAAATGGCGTGCAAAACCTACAGAGGCCGTCCAATGGCCGAGGATCTCAAAATTCTGGCCATTCTCCGTCAGTCACTCTGGAACGGGTTATTAAAGATCACCATTCGTCAAATAACTCGCAGGTAAAATATATAACAACTGTTTTTGTCATAACCTAATCGCGTTATTATTCAAATATATTTTTTTTCTAATAATAATACTCTTATAGGAACGGGTACGAAACGATGACGGACAAACGCCTGCCCAAAGACAGGCTGCGGCTAAGCTGGCTCTCAGGAAACAACTAGAAAAAACACTCTTGCAGGTAATAATAATACGACTGAAATTTACGACGTGCCTGACTCATGATTAATTTTCTTCCAGATACCTCCACCTAAACCTCCGCCACCGGAAATGCATTTTATTCCAAATCCGTCAAATACAGAATTTATATACTTGCTCGGATTGGAGCATGTCGTGGACTTCATTACAAACGGGGAAACAATCGAAGCCAGCGTACCCAAAGAACCGTACAAATGTTCTCAGTGCGAATCTAACTTCACACCAGTCTGGAAATTAGAAAAACCATCGAGAAGTAAGTCCTACTTACCTACCTTACTTGTTTTTTGTTTATAACAATGTGATTGTGTGAAAACACAAATAACTAAAAGTAACTCGCTTGTGAATTTACTCGAATTTTCGACGACATTTCATTGGTGGCAATTGTGGAAATCGTCGTATGTAATATAATTTTTCGAGTAAAATTGATGTTATCCAGGCTTAAGCAACAACATTGCATGTGTGTAACAGATAAGTTATAATTTTTCGTTTTGCTCAGGTAAAGATTCGAAAATAATATGTGAACTGTGCGTGACCAGCAACGTGAAGAAGTCGCTTAAGGCCGAACACACAAATCGGCTCAAGACTGCATTCGTCAAAGCCTTACAGCAAGAGCAAGAAATCGAACAAAGGCTTGCCCAGGGTTCGCCTCCTTCGTCCGTGTCTCCAGCGCCAGCACATCCCATCCAGGTCAATCCACCGATGCCGTCAGTTCCCAAGCCAGCCCCGGCTCCGAAACGCAACCCGACACCGCCCCAACCGCCCAAGATGCATCCGTCGGATCCCACTGGAGGCAAATTCAACGCTGCGGCCGCGCACCTGGCGCTCCAACAACAGATGTTCAGAGGCCTGTCGCCGCATCCAGCCGCTGCCATGCTGCAGTTCGCACCCCTTCTGTATCCGTACCAGTTGGCCATGGCGCAAGCCGGCGGCAAGAACTCTGCCGCTGCCGTGGCCGCCAATTTGGCCGAGCTACAAAGGCAGGCGGTCGATTTGCAACGGCAGTATCTTATGGAAATGATGCCCCAACAGGGCCAGTCGCGATCTTCGTCGCAAACACCCACTTCGGCACACAATTGGAAATCATGATTGTAATACACGTTGGCGAGCAATCTCTGTTAGCGTTTGTATTATTATATTTTTGCAATGTGATTTTTATTCGGCATAAATTATATTTTTTCTCGCACACCAAGTGAATTGCACATGACGGACGTACGTGTTTATTTTTTTAATTGTATGTTTTGTGGCGTCTGTCGAATCGAGCGCAAGTCTACAGACGCATCTGATCTATGAAAAAATATACATTCCAACATAATAGCACATACACACACACGTGTATAAAATAAAACTAATGCGGTGCGACGGATGTCCGCGCTTTGATATTGCTTCTCAAGAAGTAATACTCGAAAATGCGTAACTGTCGTCTGGGAAACGATAAAAGTTAAATAATAGTATTAAAAATAAAACTCTGAACCAAAAAAAATATTGCATTATCCACCAACGGACGGGACATTGTGCTCTGGTATTCTATTTTGAAATCATTATTATAATTATTATTATTATTATTATTAGTTTTTACATTCAATTATTATTACTATTATTATTATTATTATTACGTTTTTGAAAATCATACTCGTTTCGGAAACGATATGTTTACGTTTGTACAAAAATCACCTCGTAGTAAACCTATTTTTTTTTGTTTACGATTGTTCATTTATTTTGTAAATATGATTATGAATTATAGAATTACCGTTATAAATGTATGAATAATTAAAAAAAATTTTAATTTATATATATATATATATATATATTATATATAATATCGGAGCTATGTTGTTAGTGCACTGGATTCAGTTATAAGTTTTTTTTTTTTTTTATGGAGCTACGTAATGTGTATATTTTTTGCGTACCAAGAATTTCCTCAATATGTATTTTTACTATTAATAAAATCGTTGTACGTTTTTTTAGTCAATTCCGTTCCAAATCGGATGTTTACCCGAGTTGTGTATATAATATAATAATAATTATAATATTAATGAAAAAAAAACCAGTTTAATTTAGTTGTGCAAAATACATTTTTATAAAATAAATAAATTTTTCAAAATTAAATGTCGCTAAACGTGTATTTCTTTTAAATTTTCAAGAAAAACTATTCAATTACGGCACTTATAATATAGGTTTTCACGACATCACCATTTCTCGGTGTAAAATTATTTATTAATTGTTATTGTATACGGGCCCTTTTTACATATTTATATATATACATGCATATATTTTGTACATTAGTGAAGAAAACATTAAACACACAATTCAACAGCAACTTATAAACTATAAACAAAACTTAACATATTTAACATAAAAAATAAAACAAAATTATGAATAGTAACGATTATTATCTTGAACGTTTTTTATCACCATTGCTATAAGAATATAATATGTGTATATATATATATATATTATATACATGTTTTGTTTTATGGAATAATTGTTCAAGTATAAAATTGGTTTTGTTATATATAATGTACAACATATGAGCTCTATGGGGCTTAAAAGGATGATTTTATTTTTTATTTTTGTTATCAACATTTTATCTTAAGCGGCTTTTGTAGGTTAGAATTATCGATTGTGTAAAACATTGTAATTATTATCATGACGATTGTGTGACGTCGGTCGTTTCAAATAGGATTGCGCGGGTTTTTATGTTTTTAAAAATTACCATTTAAACATGGCCTGGTATGATGTGTAATTGTGTCATTCGATAAATTTGTTGGTCTTTTTTTTTTTGAGCGGGGGGCAGGTCTGTGGAAAGCGGGAAAAGAGAAGCAAAAGCCCAAAAACAACAACGGCATTGACATCATCGTGTTATTAATATTGTAACCAATATTGTAATAACGATGAGTTTTTTTTAATTGTTATAAACCTAGTTTGGTTTTTTTAATAATCTGCAACAATTATTATATGTTTTCTAATATATATATAAGTATAATAATTAGTAATTAGTACTCTTATACTGTATCATTAAATATTATACAGTATACTGTGTAGCTGCAAGGGCAATGGCGGTATCGGACCGGTGAGGACACTCTGAAAATTCAACATATCGCACAATAATAATGATCGCTAAAAAGCGTGGCGGCCATCTTATCGTTTATCGACCGGTATTAAAAAAAAAGAAGCAATTGTTACGTGTTATTTCTATACGATATTAGCTGCGGCTGCGTATAGATTTATAATTTCGGGATGAATGAGGCGAAGATGGCGGCATCCGTCGGCGAAATCATTGTCTTGCACATTGAGTGTCCTCTCCGGTATTTTAGTCTACTCTGTGTGCCAGGCGCTGGACACTTCTGGGCGGCGGACCGATAACAGATAATCAGTCGGCCATTTTGTTTGAAGACGTTTTTGTTAATGTTTATATAATGTATGTAAAAAAAAATACACGGATTTGTTCTCAGACAATATGGCTGACTGATTCACGCGGGCGGCATATGCTGCCCGTGTAATTTGTTATCAGTGCACTCGTGACACCGTCCAAAGACTCGGTATAAACGCGCACTTGTAGCGGAACTCTTTGGAATAAACGATAACCGAATTAGGTATAGTTCGGTCGATGACCAAAAAGAAAAAAGTATAACGGAATGTAAACTAAAGATGGCCGAATAATTGAAGAAAAAACGTGTACAACAGGTTTCTTTTACCTACACTCGTAACCTGTCTTCAGCTACTGAGGACATGGGAATGAAACTGTTATAAATATTATACGATAATGTCTCATGAAATCAATGTAAATAGTTATATTATTGCCAACCACCAAAGATATTGATCAAAATAAAATGCTGTGTTAGTATGTACTATTTTGTAAATGCTTAACGGAAATTTGATTATAGAATATTAAATTTAAATATCAGAAATTTCAATGGTTAATAAATAAAAAGATATAGATAGTAATATATTTTATGTTAAATTCCAAACTTTAATTAACAACAATAAATCTAACTTTAAATTTATCATTTTTCCAATTAAAACAATAACATCTTAGAATAAATATTTGATTCATGATACTATGATATAAAAAAAGTATTCTTCAAAATATTAATATCTTCCGAGAAAATTAGTGTCTTATCCTTAATGAATCACCCTGTATAGTCAAGGTAAAACGTTCTTTTTTTAAATATTTCATTCTATTTTTTTAATAATATATATTCAACTCTACCTTTATAAACGTCTTGAATCAGTCAAAGCAACGTTTTAGGGATGGCATGTTAATATATCTTTTATTGGCAACTTATCTATTTATTCTTATCCAATCATTCCTATTGAATTAAGTCACCAGAGTGATACTATATATCCGTGACCTCCACGAAAATATTTTACAGCGAGGAGCCATGGGAAAATGTGCATTTGATTAAATTACACAAATGGTAATTAATCAATTCATTTTTTATTTATTAAAAAGGCATAAACACAAGGAAATAAAAATAAACGGTGTAATATCCACACATATAATTACACGTACACATACACATAATTCTGTTTAATTTAAAAATATACATTATTTGTTTCCCGGAAAATATAAAACTATATACTAAAAGAGAAAACATGATGTAACTTATTTGAATGTTTAAACGGTCTTAGAAATTAAAACTATAGTTATTTTAATTATAATGATTTCCGTAGAATCACGCATTTGAATTTTTTTAATTAAAAAAATAAATTAACACAAGTAAAGAAAAATAAGTAGTGGAATAACCAAACAAATATTTAGGTCCTCGGTTAAAATCATAATACGTACTACATAGATAGCTTAAGGCATTCATTTGCAAATCTCAGTGTAGTTGACACAGATACTCAAAATGTTTCGAGCGTGTGTGTTGGTAACGTTTATTTTGCTGGTTGTAGTATTTTCCAATGAAATCGCTTTTGATGGTTTAAATGTTTCTACCGATACAAAAAACCCAGTTTTACAGAATACTATTAATTCAAAATTGGTCGACAGAAATGCCACGAGCCTCGAGCCGGTTTATCCTAAGAATTAGTTAGCCGATCTCTTCTATCAATCATTGGTTGGGTTTTCCGTCACAGATGTTGGAAGTTCCGCTTGTCGACTGCAATCAAAATTGTACTTAAGCCATTTAAAAAATAACTCCTACTGGGCAGTAAAAACTAAGCCATGGTCATTGACCAAGTAACTATAAGTCTATATTATAGTTTAAATCTAGTCGATGTCTTTAATAATAAACAGGAGAAGCAATACAAAAATTAACATGTGTTATTTGCCAATTATATCATTGTCCTTAACAACGGCATTAAAAACAACAAAGTCCTAGGCATTTTTCTACTACTATCTGTTTCGCCTATAGCCATATTATAAGTCAATATTCTATTATTTATTTATCTTAGCTACTAAGCACTAATTTAAACTATATCCATTTGTTTTCATCGATGACAATATTCTCTAAAAAATACTACCACACATTATTGCTACAGTCAATAGCAATTGTCACAAACAGTAGTGATTGTAATTAAAAAGAAACCGTTCTTTTAAATTTTATTTTTATGCAAACGACTCCCTATATCGAAACAGCACTCCTACAATAAAATATTTTTAAAATTTAGCTATATTCTTCACAGTAATAATGTTTTTAAACTTAATTATACTTATACAATTATGAAAATATTGTAATTATAGTGATAGAGTAAAAGAACATTTCTAGATGTGAACAAATTTTTTTTTTTTTCTTGGGTTTTCCGGCCATCAAGACCATCCCATCACACATCCAATCCTCCAGCCTTCCCTATCCACCGCTCTTGTTTTCCAATCCCGTCCTCCGTTCAGTGTTTCCACGTCTTTTCTTATCACATCTTCCCACCTCAAACGTGGTCTTCCCAGTGGTCGTATACGTTAGCCAGAAACACATTCGGTTATACTTTAAATACTTAGCTGAAAGAATGGGAAAATTAAATGAGATGTGGCAGATCTTCAGTATTGATTTTATTATTGCACCATAATATATTTGGTATTAAATATATTATACGTTAAATACTGCATTAAATACTTTTTCTTCTAAAATGTCTTAATACATTTTTCTTATTTTACTTAACAGTTTATCGATTACGGGGACCGGTATAAAAGAAATGTTATCAATCTCGGCGTCTCTATACCAGAAGCGTGTTCATCCGCAGATCTTGAAGTTTCATTACAAAGAGAACTGGATAGTATATTCCTGTCTCATCAACTAAAAGCGCAATTCAAAGTTAAACCGGATTTATGTAACACTAGCAAGCATTTTTTCCCTTACGATACAGGATATTATGTAATTCGGTAAGCATGTTAGAAAAGCATAGAAGATAGAATCTCCAATCAATAAAGTTATAACTATTGTTTCCGTTATGTTATTTTTTTAAATCAATACTACACTTTCAAAAAATAGATTAAATTAATACAAAATTTTATAGTGTATAATTATATAAGTTATAACATTTATATAATGGTTTAGAATACAGTGATGGGTAATCACAAGAGGAGAAAAAACAATGGATAATCATAAATAAACAACTATGGAATTATTACAAAATTGGAATACCAACTTCACAAATTCAAAATATTTAATTTAATATACAATAAATAGTTTCAACCACCTGAAGTTATAACATTAAATAAATGTAAAGAAAGTTTATTTTTAGTATAGTATATTTATAAGTTTGCCATGTAATTTTGCTTGTTTCATTTTTTTAATTTTCCTAGTATCAATCGTCTTTAGATTTTGTGCTAGTTCTTCTGCAAAAAAAAAAAACGAATTAAATTTATATACTCGTAATATTATAATAATACATGGGTACTTGTAGTCATAAGATGAATACCGCATACCTTCCCAAAAAAACTCTGTTTATCAATAAACCAAAAGGCGCGTCAACAAGGAAATGCATTATTAGAGCCGCTAAATATGTCGTTAAAATCGTATAAATTGATGTCATTACCTAAAATTAAAAAATATATTAAAAAAGCGGTTAGGTTAGGCGCCTTTTGGTTTATTGATAAACAGAGTTTTTTTGGGAAGGTATGCGATATTCATCTTATGACTACAAGTACCCATGTATTATTATAATATTACGAGTATATAAATTTAATTCGTTTTTTTTTTGCAGAAGAACTAGCACAAAATCTAAAGACGATTGATACTAGGAAAATTAAAAAAATGAAACAAGCAAAATTACATGGCAAACTTATAAATATACTATACTAAAAATAAACTTTCTTTACATTTATTTAATGTTATAACTTCAGGTGGTTGAAACTATTTATTGTATATTAAATTAAATATTTTGAATTTGTGAAGTTGGTATTCCAATTTTGTAATAATTCCATAGTTGTTTATTTATGATTATCCATTGGTTTTTCTCCTCTTGTGATTACTCATCACTGTATTCTAAACCATTATATAAATGTTATAACTTATATAATTATACACTATAAAATTTTGTATTAATTTAATCTATTTTTTGAAAGTGTAGTATTGATTTAAAAAAATAACATAACGGAAACAATAGTTATAACTTTATATGGATATAAAATGTCGAGCAAAGAGGACAGGGGTTAAAAGTGTTAACTTAGGGTAATTTATGTATAGATGTTTAAAGCGATACTTTAGAAAATGTAATTCTTATCAGAAGTAATTTTCTCTGTGTCAGTGTTGATGTAATCAGTGAAATAAACAAAATTAAATTTAAGTTCGAAAAATGACATGTCAATCAACATTACAATTACAATTTGTGAATTCAACTTTAATGGTTAATTACAATTTTCGTATTACAGACATCGGCCCATCTTGCAACTGATAAAGTGGTTCTAGACTCATCAAAAGGGCCATCGCTAATGATTGCAATAAAAGATTTAAATTACAATCCGCAATTTACAATCTGCACATTACCCTGACGGAAACAACACAGATATTAATGTGACAGATGTACTTAATTTGTGACCGGTTGTGAAGAAATGACAATGTAAAATATACTAGAATATTTAGCTGAACCAATTTTGGCGGTACTTCTGTATTTGACATAAGACGGGCTAAAATCGTTGTCAATACAATTTTGAAAATATTGTCATCACCTAACGCCACAAGGGTTAAGTGTAAAGTTTTTTTATTTAATAATTTTATTATTATTAAAATGTAAAAATTATAATATAATAGTTATATTATACAAATAAAATTATTATGTACTGTTAAGGTTGAATAAAATGAATAAGTAGAATAGAAGAGAAAATTAGAATTATAGAATTACCTAATACAATATTTTATAATATATTATACATTATTTGGATCATAACTTAAATTGAACAGGTAATTGTTTAATAAAAAAATATAAATGAAATTGTAATAAACTGTGAATATATATAAATGTATTTCAAAATTAGGAATAAAACATTTAGGCCGTATCAAAACCAAAAAAAATTGTCTTTGTTGAATATGATTTATGTATTGACTATTGTACTTAAGTAATAAAATTGTATCTAATTCAACTAAAAAGCATGGACAGGTGCGTAACGCAGTACTCAGCTCAGTTCATATCTGTTAAATCTGAAAACTTTTTTGTTGTTTTTCTCTCTTTTCATTCATGGTATTTCTTTTTAAGATGAAATTTAAATAATTCACAACTACAATATAATTGATATTTAAATTAAAAAAAAAATAAGAATAGACAAAAATAGATATATTATATATTTAGGTTGTAACGTAAAATAAATACATTTTAGTTCGATTCCGATTTCCGATTCATCAAAAAAAAAAAAAAAACGTTTGTAACATTTAACCACGGCATTGAAAAAAGTTCTGAACATTTTTCTATTATCATATTCATCGACTATTGTTATAAAAGTTATGCCAATATTCTTTCTCCGGTTTATCTTGGCTTCTAAGCACTATCATTTGTCTTAATCGAAAAAAAATCCACTAGAACTTACTAGTGGCAGTAAGTTATCAGTGCTACCATCAATAACAGAAGTTTTTGTAATTAAAACGCAACAGTTGTTTTATATTTTATTTTAACCTAAATGAAACCCTTAGCGTCACAACACACCTACAATAAAATATTTTAAAATATAAAATGCTTTACTTCTTACAATAAAAATGTTTCTAAAATTAATTATTTATTTATTTAACGCCAATCGGCAATTCAAAGAGATACAATAACAAGTAAGCACAACAAAAAAAAAAAATTCCAATAATAATAGTGATTAAGGTGATCTTACAGAAAAATTATAAACATTAAATGCTATTGCACAATACGACTAAAAACTAAATAGCTTATGTTAATATATAATAATTCAGAATAACATGTACGGATCTAGGAGTTATTGAGTAAACGGAGCATTCTATGCAAAGGATGGTTATGAGAGTAGTTGGTACTGTGAGAGGGGACTAGGTAAAGAGAGTGATTTCTAGTATAATGCACGGGAACGCGGAAAGAGATAGAAGAGAGAAGGTCAGGGGCATCCACTGAGCCATTAAGAAGAGAGGTGATAAATGAAAGGTCAACATCTACACGGCGAGAAGTAAGACTAGGGATATTTAAGGAAGATCTAATGGACGAATAGTCATGGGGCGGGTGATCAATCTTAAGCAGAAAAGCAACGTAGGACAGGAATCGGTTTTGTACTCGCTCCAAACGTAGTTGGTCTTTAGCCATTTGTCGACTGCAGTCAAAGTTGTGCATAAGGCATTTAAAAAAAAATACCTACTGGGCAGTAAAAGTAAGCAGTGATCATTGACAAATTAATTATAAAATATATGTTATGGTTTAAATCAACTTGTCAATCAAATGCAAACGACACCCTATATCGACACAGCACTCCTACAATAAAATATAGCTAAACTGTAAATTAAAAATGTATTGTTCTCGACAAAAAAAAAACAAAACGTTTGGTAAGAATATGTGATTTTAATAATAAAAGTATCATAAAAAACAAAAAAAGTTTTCCATTTAGAAAACTACGTTTTATAAAATGAATCTTTTATAGAAAAATTATACTACGATAAAGGTGTATTCAAACTTTTGTCGTGAAATTTTGCTTTCAAGTGAAATGTTACATATTTTTATTTATTTCAGTTTTAAAAGGGGCAAGTCCAATTACCTAAAAATAATCGTTCGTGAACAATAGTATGATAAATAAAAGAATACAATATAAAGATAAAATATTACATATGATATTTAGCTATGAATTATTTAGTATTCAATTACAAAAAGTTTTAAATGAGTGAAAGTTTGGTTTATGAAGTAAATTAGTTATCGTACTCTATTTCGTCTAAAACCATGTTGAGCATGTACTACTGAATTATATAAATCAAAAGATACATTATTTGAAGTCACCGATTAAAATACTTAAGGTATAAACGAGAGCAGCAATATTAGCTGGTTACTAATGATATTGGATAAACCAGAAAATGACTTTGAAAATACGTTGAATAAAATTAGTTTTCCATGCAAATAGAAAATACTAGCGAAGAGTGATAAATTAAACAAATAATAAAAAAAGAGGGGAATGAACAAGTTACAATTTTTTAGGAATACAATTGGCATTAAATAAATCAGAACTAGAAGATGAGTTTAATGTTAAAGAACTTAGTGGATAGAATATCTCAATTAATTCAATACAACAAGATTGCATAAGAGAAAAAGAAATTTAGCCGGATAATGTTGTGTATTAACATTGACACAGTCATACTATTTATACACAAAAGAAAAATAATTACCAAAAACATTAATACTATCATTAGGAGTATGAAACTCTTCATTGCATAGATGCATACTATTAAGCAAGACATTTTTTTTGCTTATATCATTATTGAATTTCCACAATTGATTAGGTTGAACTTTCAAATTTTTCTGAATTTTGCTTATGTAATTTTGATATCTTTTTTTAAAATTGTTTTGTCGTCAATCATCTTTTGATTTTGTGCTAGGTCTTCTACAAAAAAACGAAAGAAATCTATATAATATACGGCTTGCTAATATGATAAAATGTATATAGCATACCTTCCCAAAATAACTCTGTTTATCAATAATCCAAACGGCGCGTCAACAAGGAAATGCATTATTAGAGCCGCTATATACACCATGAATATTGTATAAATATATTCCATTACCTAAAATTGAAAAATATATAAATCAGAATGTAAACTTTTACACATACATACACTAGCTCACACACATTTTTTATTAAAATAATAAAACCCAGCTTCGTTCCATACACGTACATTTCCTTCAGAAAAAGGTTTTGCAAAGAACTTTTTTTAATACCCAGTATGTTTAGGTCGGGTTAAGATAGGTGAAAAAAATCCTTATTACTAATAACTTACGACTATGTGGAATGAATGATCTCCGGATGCCCGTACAGAGAAATGTATCATTAGTATTACGGTAAGATTGACCTGGTATAGCGAGTATGAGAGTTTGTGTAATATACCAGTGATTCGATTGTTCAGTAATTTTTCTAGAAAGCCTGGAAATAATTAATAGCATTTATATGAGTAACATTGTTATTACGTTATTATCAATTTATCTAGTTTCCTAGATTTGATTGACGATGGCCAGTTTTAAAAACTGGATAGGACATCCAGTAACAACTACTATAGTTTTAAAAAGTAAGATATTTTTAATTTAAAAATATAATAAAATGTAATACCACTTAGGGGTTAAAAGGTATTAAAATAAGAATTAAGGAAAAAAATTAAAAACTACAAAATAATAATTATTTTTATAGAAAATTTGTATTTACGTTTAAAAAATACAAACATCTTTATCTGGAAAATGTGTACATAAGGAAAACAATAATTTATATGGAAGTAAATGTTGTAAATTGCATAAGACAGATGTTGGAGAAATGGAATACTCTATTAAAGGGGATATTTTAGTGGTTGAATCTGTGTGGAAAAATAAGTTTATACTTAATAAGTATTGTGAAAATAAGATTGCATAGACATTACGTACCATAACTAGAGGTAGTGTGATAGATAGCGATCCACATGGAAAATAAGGGCGTATTTAGATGGTTAATGCTTGAATAAATAGACGACTCGATTGCATTGTAATCCCTATGTCTTTTAAAGAATACATTACTGTACAATTGGACATATATGTAAAGACCAAAGGCAACCAGAGTAGTTATTAGTGTAGTTGTCTGAAAAATATTTCTTTTTTAATGATAACAATTGTAATCTGTAGTGTTATGCAATTACCTTGGATATTTTGATTTGTTTTTTTTTTAAAACTTCGACAATATCACCAGCTAACAGTCCAATATAGAATGGTAAACCCCGTTCATAGAATCGGCTGTATAGGTACGTGAAATGATATGAGTCTGGACTAGTCGATTGAAACCAATTTAACGTAAATCTATAAAAGGTAAAAATGTACTACAAAACATTTTAATAACGTCAACGTCGCCTTGCTCGCAAGAACACACCCTTTGCCAAATACAGATGTAATTTCAATTCAATACTGATAAAATCCAAAGAACATGATTTAGAGGTAAAATTAAAATCGTTCAAAACTATGTTTTTGGTATTTATGTAAACGGTTTTTTTTTTTGGTCCTATAAAGGATAGGCATTTGAATAATATTTTTAAAGTTTTCGGAGGGTACCAAATGAACTATTACCATGACATTTTTTTTCATTTTTAGGCACAGCAAAGGAGATAATTTTATATTTGGTTATAACCCACAACTGGCCTGACCCTAATTGTCACTGAAACCTGTACCTTAAAGCTCTCCTTAAAATCAACGCTTGTACATAAATCAGTTAAATGTTCACTTGCTTAAGAGCTATGGGCTTCCAACAGAATGTGAAACTACTGGATTCAAATCATAAACGCAGCCTACAAGATACTTCCATCAAACAACAAAGACATTGTTTTTTCATATAAGAAGAAATATTAGATAATACTAACGATATATTGAATTTGGTAATTCCTTCTGATTTCGAGTAGTAAGTTATAGCAAACGGAATGATTAATGATACGGTAATCAGCAAGGCTATTATAACATTGCCGATTTTGCGGTTTTTTCCATAAATGTAAACGACCATAATTCCAATAACCATTAACTGTAGTTGTAACGAAATGAAATAACCGGCGTAGAGACACTAAACATAAGTTACTATAATGGTTATACAATTATTCTCTTTTATTTCAGTAAAATTTAGATTTTGATACTCACTTGTTTTTCTCCATCGACAAAATTATTTATAACTAATAGATTAGTCCACCAATATTGTTTACATTTGTTTGCTTCCACGCCCATTTGGTTTGCCCAAAAAGGTCCACCTCCCATATGAGGGACAATAAATATTGTAAGAAGTAACATTGTGACGTGAACCGGAAGAGATCTGAAATAATGATTATAAAATGGTAATGCCAATTGTAAATCACGATAAAAAACGATTACTTGAGATATTTGTAGATAATAATCTTTGGGATTTGAAACCAATTACATCCGGGATTTCTGAACTTGGTAATATTTGTCATGTATAATAAGTAACCAGACACAAATATAAAAAGGTCAATTCCATTATTCAAAGTTAGTAAGATATTGTTGTGGGTATTTTGAACAATCTATGATAAACGAAAAGTGATACACCATTAGTATGTTTTTATCACTAGTTAATGAAAAACATGGGGTTAGGTATACTGGATTTTATTGATTTTGCAATAATAAAATTGTATTATGCGATGAATGATATTAAAAGAAAAATTACGTTTTACCTCTTCAAATGGCTTTGGGTACAACCGCGGATGATTGATACCAACTAGAATTCCATGTGCTATTACGAGCAAAATCATTGCGTTTGACACCAAACCATTAAAAATATTGAGCTCATTGTTCTTATTATGTTTAATAAGATCATTTCCATTTTTTACTACCGAAAACATATTTAGTACTTCCAAATTTTGCGCTGGAATAAAACATGGACGAAAACATTATATTCAATAGATAATCTAACAAATATAAATAGGAAAGATTCATATGTTTTTCTATGTTACATTATATAGTCAGTAGTTCGTTATAGTTTTTTTAAGTATATTTTGTCTAAACTGAGTATTTAATTACTGATACTAGGAGACAGTAGTTGTTTTAACTTACAGGCTGAGAAGGTATTGTTTTACTATGATGTGTTTTACATTATTTTTGTTTCTGGACCCATAATATCTTAAAAAAACCGCTAAATTTTTTTTTTAATGACAACTTTGATATTTATAGATTAGAAAGAACTTTTAATATTTACCAAACAAACTACCATATTTTTCAACTTATAATTACGTTGCACTATAATTTTTTTAGAAATAGTCAAATTTGTTCCAAATATTTTTAAAATTTCTTTAAACATAATAATAAACATTAACAAAAAAAAAATATTTTAAATTTTTTTCTTAAATCAGTTTTATTAGTTTCTTATAGTTTATTATAAAAGTTAACAGTTGTACTCATTGTATCAAACAAATTTTTCCAGTTTAACGTTCTGAGTAAAATATATTATTATATATTATATTATTTAAATAACAGTATTTAATACAAAAGAACTAGCATATATTTTCAATTCTTATACTTACACCGTTGGTTTTCACGACCATTGCGTAGGGCTACTAAATGGTAAGTCGTCGAGAATGATACAATCAAAATCAGCAATCCAAAAAAACCGCTAAACGAAAAATGTACCGAGTATTTAATACATTTACAAATTAAAAAGCTGTTTAAAATAAATGTATGGATAAGATAGAAAAAGGCGATGTAGTAGTGAAATCGACAAAGATTTTTATGTATGTCTTGTTAGTAAAATCTAAAATAACTTTTTGAGCCAATTCCCAAAAAAAAGTACCTTAACGTATTTGTATTTTAAGGATATTTAGAAACTTTTTAAATTTGTTTAAAGTTCTGATAGGAGCATCTTCTTTGCTTTTCTAACATGCTTACCAAGTTACATAATATCCTGTGTCGTAAGGGAAAAAATGCTTGTTAGTGTTACATAAATCCGGTTTAACTTTGACTTGCGCTTTTAGTTGATGAGACAGGAATATACTATCCAGTTCTCTTTGTAATGAAATTTCAAGATCTGCGGATGTACACGCTTCTGGTATACAGACGCCAAGATTGATAACATTTCTTTTATACCGGTCACCATAATCGATAAACTGTTAATTAAAATAAGTAAAATGTATTAAGACATTTTAGATGAAAAAGTAATCAGTAGTATTTAAAGTATAAGCGAATGTATTTCTGGCTAACGTATATGATACTTGGTCACTAACAAAAAGAAAGGAGATGAAAACTGATGGGTGTTGAAAGGAAAGTATTAACAGCAAATATATTATGGTCAAGTAATAAAATTACATTTGGAGATCTGCCGTATCTTATTTATATTTGTCCCATTTATTCAGCTAACCATTTAAAAAAATGTATTACTTTCCTTGGTGTTGTACACAACCAATCTAATATCGGTATTCCTAATATCATAAACGTTGAGTCTTGAACTTTTTAATTTATTACCAATAGTATTTGCTTATTAAATTATTTATTAAATCTTTGCTCAAATACAAAAAATGAAGTATATTTACCCCAAGTATTTCTTGCCATGCGTTATCAAAACTTGCGTACTCATCTTTACTGTACTGGGTGAAGTTTTCGTTTGATGAAGTCTGAAGTTCTATTGTTGACATACAATATTTTCCTTGAATAGGCTGGTGCACACTGATGCACTCGTCATAAACGCCCATGTGATGTGTGTTTCCTATTAATAATCCGTTCAGGTATCTAGGCCATGAGTCGGACACTATAAAGTTCAGTGTTAGAAATTTTTATGTTAAAATTATGTTAAGGATTATACAATAGAATATATATAAATTTATTTCTTGTTTCTCTTTTTTGTTGTTAATTTGCTATATATGCACATACATTTTAGTTAAGTTCTATAACTCTCTATCTCTAACACAAGCTTTTAGCTTAAAAGAGATAGATAAACAATTTTTATATACTGAAATTTTGTAAGTTATGATGATTTTAATAAAAAAAAATAATAAAAAAAATATGGCTATAGGCGAAAGAGATGGTAGTAGAAAAATGCATAGGACTTAGTTGTTTTTAATTCTGTTGTTAAGGACAATGATTTAATTGGCAAATAGCACATGTTATTTTTTTTTTTGCTTCTCCTGTTTATTATTAAAGACATCGACTAGATTTAAACTATAATATAGACTTATAGTTACTTGGTCAATGACCATGGCTTACTTTTTACAGCCCAGTAGGAGTTATTTTTTAAATGGCTTAAGTACAATTTTGATTGCAGTCGACATGCGGAACTTCCAACATCTGTGACGGAAAACCCAACCAATGATTGATAAAAGAGATCGGCTAAACAAATCTTAGGATAAACCGGCTCGAGTCTCGTGGCATTTCTGTCGACCAATTCTGAATTAATCGTATTCTGTAAAACTGGGTTTTTTGTATCGGTAGAAACATTTTGACCATCAAAAGCGATTTCACTGGAAAATACTACAACCGGCAAAATAAACGTTAACAACGCCCACGCTCGAAACATTTTGAGTATCTATGTCAACTACACCGAGTTTTGCAAATGAATACCCTAAACTATCTATGTAGTATGTGTTATAATTTTAAGTCAAGGCAGTAATATTTATTTGATTGTTCTACTACTTATTTTTCTTTAATTGTATTAATTTTCTGTTTTTAATTAAAAAAATTCAAATGCGTTGATCTACGGAAATCATTATAATTGAATAAACTATAAAGTTTTAATTTCAATGACAGTTTAAACATTCAAATAAGTTATACCATTGTTTCTTTTTTTTAATATATAATTTTACATTTGCCTGGTAACGAATAATATTTTTGTTAACTACACTGAGCTAAGACTACATTTAGACATTAACCATATATGTAAATATTGCACTACGTTTTTTTACTTGTTTTTATGCGTACTTTTTATAGGTATTCTTTTTACAATGATTTTTTTTATGGTATTAAATGAAAAAAAAAACTATAGGTATATGACTATAGAATGAAAATGTACGATACATCATTGTATGACCTTACAGTCATGCCCTTGGCATATTTATGTACATCACACTACTTATTTTAATTTACTCGAGTTTGTGTAATTTTCCCAGATATAATTTCATACAATAAATCATAATGTTTTATTATTCATTTTCTTGTGTTTGAGCGTAATTTTAAGCCAAAGTTTTTAGAGCCTTAAGCTATCTATGTAGTACGTATTACGATTTTAAGTCAGGGCCTAAATATTTATTTGGTTATTCCACTACTTATTTTTCTTCACTCGTGTTAATTTCTATTTTTTAATTAAAAAATTCAAATGCGTGGTTCTACGGGAATCATTATAATTATATAAACTTCAAATTTCAATGACAAATGAAACATTCAAATAAGTTTTATCATTGTTTTTTTTTTGAAAATATAATTTTACATTTGCCTGGGAACTAATAACGTATAGTTTTTAATTAAACAGAATTATGTGTATGTGTATGTGTAATTATATATGTGGATATTACACTAAGACCATTTCAACATTCAAATAGGTTACATCATTATTTTCTTTTTTAGTATATAATTTCATATTTTCCGGGAAACTAATAACGTATAGTTTTTAATTAAACATTATTATGTATTTAATTACCATTTGTGTCATTTTTTTAAATGCACATTTTCCCACGGTCCTTTGCTGCAAAATATTTTCGTGGAGGTATCGCTTTTAGACAATCTTGCTCTATGCGAGCAGAAAAGGACGATTTAAATGGAAGATAACACGGGGGTCGTGTATAATGTCAGACTTAGATAAATTTTTATTACCAGTTGAGTATACAAATATGATTTAATTTTGTTAACGGTTTGTTAAATAATACCTGAACTAGTTTAAGAGATTACCGGAGATTCTAGCTGAATTTAACGTAGAAACAAGGTTGTCATGATTTACTGTATCGCACGCTTTACGGATTTCAGTATTTTATATTGTTTCAACTTGTAGGCCAGCTTCTCCAGGTTCTAATAAATTAGTGTAAGCGTTTAGAAGATTAGGTTCAGTAGACTAACCTGATTTATACCTATGTTAACTAAATAAAAGTATTTTTTTTTTAGAGATCTTGATATTGGTTGTTCTTTAAGTTTTTCGAACAATTTAGGGAGTGGTGATAGGTTAGATATAGGCCTATATTTAGTTAAAGAGGACTTGCTACCGGAATTGAAATAGGAACCCAATAACTAAGTTTCCTCAAAAACTGAAAATGTCCACATTTTAGAGACCAGTTAAAAATAATTTGTATTGAAAGGAATGCCTACACAGATTTAAGATAATTTTGGGAACACCATCTGGACCAGGACTATAGCTAAATCTTATTCCCATAGGTCCCATAATTATGTCTGACATAGATAGTTCAAAACGAGGTATATTGCTCTTATCAGGTATAGAGATGTTAAAAATAATTAACATATAAAAAAATGAATATATATTTAAAAATTCTTTGAACAGGTCAGCCATTTCACGTCCTTATGTCTTAGTAATATGATTTCATTCCTTTATTGCAGCGATATCATTACCTTTTTAAAGGTTTTTTTTTAGTACTAATATTTAGTTATAACTATACTAATTTAGACTATACTTAGTTTATCCTATATGCTATTTTATAATGATATAAAATGAAAACAACACATGCACTGTTCAAAACGTCTTTGCCAGTAATTGTACTTTTCAATTAAATATATAATTTCTTAGTAGAAAAATGGAATACAAATTATACAATTTCATAGGTTTTAATCAAAATATGTTTATACCATTATTAAATAGATAGAATTATTAAATAGATGAGTGAATGAATAACATAAGATTTAAGTTTCCAATGGGGCACACAGTTTTTGTAATTAAGAATTAATTATTAAATTTCAACTTGGTTATTTTTTCTTATATAATCTAAATTAAATAACAAATTAAGTTTAAATTCCTAAGATAATTAAAATATTTAAATAATTTCCATAATTATTATTTAAAATTTTAAATTAATTAATAACTTTTTCTTTGTGTAATTTTCCTTGATTTCGTTTTAATTAATTAAAATATAATGTTTTAATTCCCCAGAATACTTTTGAAAAATTAAAAAAATACTAAATAATATTTTTCAGGTAATATTGAGCATCTTATGTTAAATATATAATTCTGCAAAGGAAATAATAATGTATATTTGACCTGTTAACAATGTTTTTGGTGTGGCAGTCAAATATTTTAAGTTTAGAGTCGAAAATAATACCAAGGTCCTTTATTCGACCCGTATACAGGGTGATCCAACTAACGTAAGACACTCATTTACTCGGAAAATATGAATATTTTGAAAATTATTTTTTACCTATACTTGTAGGTACATATTATTCTACATTTTTCAATAATAAATAGTTCAGTTTCATAAATAAATCAGTTATGGGTTCATAACAGTCTATCAAACCTATTTTGTCATTTGTAAACTCAATATTTAGCCAAGTTTCGGTAAAAACGAGGTAACCATAATCATAAAGCCAATTTTAAATGATAATAAATTTAGTGTTATGGTAAGAATTGACTGATATTAATATTTGTTCAACATTATTGATCGGAATAGATATTAATTCAGCAATATACTTTTTATTTACACAAATCATAACTCCACCACCTCTGTTAAAGAACTAGTATTTATGTTTCTATCAAACCTAGATACATTATAATTAAAAAGGACAATTTTGTCATTTGTAAACTCAATATTTAGCCAAGTTTCGGTAAAAACGAGGTAATCATAATCATAGGAAGGAACATTACTATCTAAGTAAATTAAGTTTCGACCTCATACCTCTAACGTTTTGGTAATAACCCACAAAAGATTTAGACATAGAATTATAGTTCAACGAGAATTATAGAATAATATGATTCTCGATAATATTGTTTTAGATTAAGTATCTTATACGAATTTAAATATGTAAGTTAATAGGTCTGTTACTATAATGTTTATTTTGTTTTAGGTGAAGACTTATTATGCTTAATGTTTCTTTCTACTTGGAATCTCTGAAGAAGGATATAATCGCCGTTAATAAACTCAAAATATTGGTAATATTACCCCATACATTTTTTTTGCACTATTATTAAATGTTTAAAAACATAATAGTTATTTTTACTTAAAAGTCACTCCATATTATGTTAAGTTGATAAATCATTTTTTAACATAAATTTAAGTTAGATTTGATGTTTTATGAACGTTGTTGATATGTAGCTCTTCATATAAACTAAAAGATTTTTCTATTTTATATTTGATTATAATTTTTTATTATAGTAATTGAAATATCAAGCTTTTAGTTAATTAATATTTTATAATTTAACCCAAATTTTGTATTTTATATGATTTACGATTAAGACATACATCTTAATACTGATAAAATAGTTTTAGATTAAATTATTTTTTGCTGGGTTATACTGTTCTTGGTATCGAATGTACTGATTTAAACTGTACTTAGTATTTATACTGTATAGACAGAACTTTATTTAAATATTGATAAACGCATTGTACCAAATAATAATAATGTTCTCCATAATGTATTTTTAGTATTATGGTGGATATAATTAGGGTTGGTCGTCTATCTAAAATAATTTAGTTTTAAAATTTACCTACCCATGTATCCTAATTAATAAAATAATCAAAATATTATTTAGATAACTGTAGACTGTTGATTTACTTACACATAGCAACCTAGAAATTGACTACGATCAAAATGTAATTTTCACCT